TATAAGTCGCTTGTTTTAATCTTCGATTTGATAGTAATTAATTAAATATTTATATAAATAATATAATATAATATATATAGTTATTATTTAATAACATATTAATTATAATATTAAAAGTTTATACATTAATATTATACTGGATAAAAGATGGATTAAGAATATTAGACCTACCAATATATATAAACTTATGAAGGTAAGAATTTTTTATTATTTTAATTCGGGTCTATCCAGTAAATTTTAATTTAGGGGAGCAAACAATTATTTTTAATTTCTTTTTAAAAAATTGTTGGTGATTTTTACTCTTGTCATTAAGTATGTTTTTAAAAATAACTATTTAAAATATCAGAGATGTTTAATTTTTGGTACATACATTAATGTGATATTAGTAATGTGATGTAGTAATGATTTATATTCCTCCCAACTAAAGAAGACTAATATCAAATATATTTTGTATAAAATACTTCTTATAATTATTTAAAAATAATTAAAGCTAATTTTTCTTAATCGAGGTTCCATAATTCTGTATACTATCTAAATATTGATTTATATATTATAAATAAATAGATAATAGGATAATGTTACAAACTCGATACAATGGAGCCAGAAAATGTTTATTGGAGGGGCCAACAATTTTGGGCCCTTGGATCATTTTCCATAATTTGTTTCCTAAGAAAATCTTGTGGAGGGTTCCCTTCACACATTATCAACAGTGATATAGTCGTAATTTGATCAATAGATAAGTTAAAAACCTAAATGAGGAAACGTGGGGAATTTCACCCCCACACTACATTTCAAAGGCCTTAACTATAACATAGTTTTGGGGGACGGAATACAAATATTGTGATATTTTAACTGTGTTAAAAATATGTATTTTCTAATTATTACATAATGCAACTAAAACTCCTAACCCTCCCAGTTGCTCCTTCCAACTTCCAAACTATTACTCGAATATTTTTACTGACACTTTTAAGTTCTTACATAAATTAAATTTCATAGTCATACAATTGATAAGTGTATTATTAGATACTGTTATATTTTTTATAAATAAACAATAAACTTTATGCAGTAATAAAATAATCTTACAATCATTGTTTTCAAATCGTTAAAACATAAATGAAATAAACGTGAATAGGTACATGTTAGTACTATCTTAATTCATTATAGGTAATATATTAAATACTAGATTGGTTGGTAAACGGTTTATTACGGAAAAATACAAATTACCAATTTCAACAGCTATAGGTTAACCCAATAACTTTCAGTTTCAACTTAGTATGTGCTATTACGTTAATTTCTGGTCGATGTTTTAAATTTTGTCAAATGTCAATAAAATTGTCGTGAAATGATAAACATTATCCTATTTATTTTATTGATATTTATTTATACACTTTGACAGTGTTTTGTTTTACATTTATATTCTATTTTTAAAATGATAATAGTCTCGAGCCATATTTGTGTGTTTATAACTTCAGATATATGTTTATATGTGGTATGACTGTAGAGATTAAACAAACTGATAAGAATTATTCAAAATTTGTGTTTTATGACAAACGTACCTATATTCGATACCCACATATTACTTTTTATTTTATTCTTTAGTCTATACTCTTTAACTATTTTATAAATACGTATATGCACTAATAAGAAAACTAACACTGGGTATACGCCGTATACCCGCGTATCACTCATGATTTTATAAGTATACGCAATAACAGAAAAACAAAGAAGTGGGTATACGCCGTATACCCGCGTATACGCTCCACGACACCTCTGGAGCACGCAAATAACAAAGTAACAAAAACAAATAAATTACCTATTATAACTACTAAATTATAAAAAAAGAAACAGATTAAAGATAAGATTTATCAAAAAATATTTCATAGAATATTACCATAGATTAAATACACATGTATTTAATCTATGATATTACTCTATCGAATTTTGTAATCAACTAGATTCTAATCAATGCAGATACTTGGTAGTTTGTTATCATTTGTTGGACCAGAGTTAAAAAAAATTTACCTATAACTACATTTGGAGTAACTGCTATTCCGTTTATTATTACGTCTAGAACGTTATTTTTTTCAAATAACGTTTTCTATAAATATAAAAATGAAAATACAGCCATAATAATAACTGTATAACCCAATAGTAATCACACATTAATAATAATTTCAATGTATATAAGACCTAGCACGTTTTTGATAATTCGTAAAAATAATTGAATTTTAAATTTGAGGGGGCCGGATCTGGGTCACATTAAATCTAAGGGGGACAGGCCCACCTATGTCTACGTGCCTGAATGGAGCCAGTTTTTTGTCTAAGATAACTAATTCCTTTGTCAAACTCGTACTCTATATACTCTGCCTTACTCCTACTTATTCTTATTCCCTTTCCTTCAAAAACTAATCTCCACATCTTTAGTCTCTCATTAATTTCTTCCTTATTTTATCCTATTAATACTATATCGTCAGCGAACAACATGCATCACGGTACCTAACAAAGTATTTCTTTAGTAATTTCAACCATTACTATAGAAAATAAGTAAGGGATTAAAGCAAAACCTTGGTACACTCCTACTAAAAATGTATATTTTCACATTATTAATTATTATACTATAATGCATATATTAACTATTTTTTACGAAAATTATTGCTTGAATGAGGAAGTCCATAGTGAAGATATATTTGTCACAGATTTCATCACATAAGGAGCATCCTTTAAAATGGTCCTTCACAAAAGTCTCTTTAAGGACTATTTCCGCCAATGGATGTTTGATATATTTATAATAATACAAAATTTATTTCTAAGTTCATTTTGAGGCACCAAATATAATTAGTCGTAGACAGAAATAGAATTAAAAATTTAGGGGGGGCTAATGATATATTTTAATCCTTTACCACACCTTGATATATGTTTTTATTGTATAATACATATGAATCGCTAAATTTTTAGGGAAGGGCTAGGCTCCTCCAATCTGCCATAGTTATTTATATATATATAGGAATAATTGTTTGAACTCGCTGTTCTCTAATAATGTGATATGTCACCTTGTTTTCCTTTCCCTTATATACTCATTCGTTTATGAAGACTTCCATTAGTTAAATACACTAATGAAAGTTATTGTTTTATTAATTTTTTATAACATAAAAATGTGTATACAGTGACGAGCAAAAGTGAACACAACTACCAAAATTTTTGGAAAATTGCCATTTTCAAAACTAAATATTAATTTAATTTAATACATTTTTGAATCCATATTCTAGGGGTTAAAACAAAAGTTTATGCACAAAAAATAGTCACGAAAAAGATAAAAGGCCTGAGAGTTTGTTTATTTAAAAATACTCATTTTTGCACCTGTTATTAATACAACGTAAAAACCCAAATCGTAGTGCGTGTCTTTGACTTGCTATTTTTAGGACGTCTGGAGAAAAGAGTTTTTTCACTCTTGATTTGTTTACATTTCTTTCTATTACAAAAAGAATACTCTATTTCTATTTTAATCAGTCTTTCGTAGTGAAAGGAACCAACATGAAAATTACTCCTCAAAAAACGGCACAAATTGTTTCAATACTAAAATCGGGTCAATCAACCAGAGAAGTGGCTCGATAGTGTGGCGTCAGCCAAACGACAGTGCAAAAAATAAAAAATAAAGGTTGTCCTAACGCTTTACCTCGACTAAAAGGAAGACCTAAGTGTACTACCCCACAAGATAGATGAAGACTTGCTCACTTTTTACAAACGGGAGAAGCATCTTCATCTTTAATGGCGGCCAATCTATTACAACAATACACGGGGAAAAAATAAGCAGGTGGACAGCTTCGAGATTTCTCAAGGAACAAAATTTTGTGTGTGCCGAAAAAAAGAGAAAACCCGTAATTTCCAAAAAAAATATGAAGGCTAGGTTAAAGTTTGCTAAAGATCATAAACACTGGACAGAAAAAGACTGGAGGAGGGTGATATGGTCGGATGAAACCAAAATTAATAAATACTGCTCTGACGGAAGGTCCTGGTTCTGGAAAAGGACTGTCGAGAGCCTTAAACCATCCCATATCAAGCAGACGGTCAAGCATGGTGGAAGATCTGTCATGCTATGGGGCTGTTTTACTGCACATAGACCCGGACCCATTCATAAAATTGTTTGTACTATGGATCAATATATGTATAAAAACATTCTATCAAGAAATTTGCAAGGTGTGGTCGCAAAAATGCCAATACCAAACAATGAAGTCATTTTCCAACAGGATAATGACCCCAAGCATACAGCGAAATCCCTTAAACAATGGCTTGCCAATCAAAAATTTAAAACTATGGACTGGCCAGCTCAAAGTCCCGACCTGAACCCAATAGAAAATTTTTGGGCATATTTAAAAAAAAAATTATACAGTGAGTACCACGGTCCACCGACTTCACTCGACAATTTGTGGGAAAGAATTAGAGAAGAATGGACAAAAATTGATGTGGACTACTGCGAGTCTTTGGTCAACAGCATGCTACGAAGGATGGAAGCAGTGATAAAAGCTAAAGGCTTGTGGACAAAATATTAACGCTAGAATATATTTATAATAATTACCGGTGCAAAAGTGAGTACTTTTAAAAATTCATTTTCTAGAAACTCGCTACTTATTGTTTGTATTTTTTCAGCTAATAAACTTTAATTTTGTTATACAAATACATTTATTTCTTTGATTAATATAATTATACATGTGTTGTTTTTTTATAACCTTATTTCTCAAAATTTTCTTATTAGTGTTCACTTTTGCTCGTCACTGTAAACATCTTAAGTACATGTTAAACTCTTTAAATTAAAAAGTAACAAAGCTCAAGAAAAGCTAAAAATATAGTGAGTTCTCTAATTTTTTTATTCTGGGAAAAGAGTTTTGATCTAACTTCAGTAGATTAGATTATATCTAATATATATATTTAATGCAATAAATTATAATAATTCAATAGTTTTAATTATGTATAAATGTCTAATACATATTAAGTTATAACCTAATGCTTAGTTATCTTATTTAACTAATCAAAACAATTTTTTTAAACAATACTTTAATAATTTATTAATTATTTATTTATTTTCAGTAAATTTATTCAAAAGTCATAGAATAGAGTAATGTTTTATCAAGCCATGTTCGATAGTAAGATACATTTGTATATACTCCCGGATGATTTGCTCTTCCACAGCCATAACCCCAACTTGTTATTCCCACAACTGTTTCTCCTGCAAAAGAAAAAAATCATTAACTTAATCAATGTAAACTTATATGATATACGATATATATACATTTCATATTTTTGATAAGATATTTTATTTATTTTAAAGGTAATATTTTTATTTTAGTTTTTATGTGCAACTTATTTGACCTCAGGAAAAATCTGTGATATCAATTTTTGAATAACAAAAATTGATATCACAGATTTTTTTTTTAAAGTTATCTTCTTTTAAAATCATAACATTATTTATTTTTTTTTTTATAATTTAAAGAAAGATAAAACATAAATTTAATTTTAGGGGGAAATCAATACATTGCCATGGAGAGACAACAAAACTTAAAATATAATTCTTAGAAAATGTTTAATTTAAATATTAAATAAAATTATTTAAAATTTTAGGAAGTTTTATTTTTAAAATCTCTTTTTGGAACCGATCCGAAACTTTTAAAAAATGAAATTTATTTGATCAGCTCTTTAAATCTGATATACGTCATAATATTAGTGTATGTAAATGGAGGTCTAGGGATACAATGTTTCCAGGCTGCAAATTTTCGTAGTAATATACCTTTTTTTAGCTTCAATGAAAAAGCTAAGGTATTAAATTTACTATGATGTGTTTTTTTTCATGTCTGTAGCCATTTTTTTCATCTCTCAATTTCCTTCAATGATACGTCAAAAGATCACAAAACGTATCTAGTTGAAGAATTTGCCCTTAAAAATTGAACAAATTTTCTTAATTCCCCGGAAAAAGGGAAATCTCCCAAAAATTACTATTTTTAAAATAAAAAAAATTTGATATTATTTTTCTTAAAACAGCCAAAACTTTTATAAATGAACAAATCAAAATAATTTCTTTTATATATTGTTTTGACATTAAAAAAATAATTTTTTATATTGAAATCTGATGAATTAAAATTTGTTGAGACATAAAAATATTTTAAATATTTTAGATCCAGGAAGTAAAATCTTAAATACACTATTGCTGAGGATAGATAGATAGATAATATGAAATTATTTTATTTATTTATTATTACCAAACAGTTATTTATTGTTGTACAGTACACCTCCAATGGTCCACTTAAACTATTTTTTTATTGTGTATGCAATCATGAAATCACCCAAACAAATTGTAATTAGCCAGTAAAAAAAATAAAAATTATGCTGAATAGTTATATTGTTTTTAATTATATAATCTATGTCTATAAACTTTTTATAAAAAAATAAACAGATATCAATACTATCTTACAGGATATGAGACTGGGCATTTGTACATTATACTTTATGTAAACGTACATACATCATAATTTAATAAACCACCAGATTTTTTGATGAAATTCAAATAATGTTGTTAATTTTTTTTTGGTATATCTTAAATACATATATTTCTTGATTCCTCGATTTTCTCACACCTCTACAGCGTTCGCCCAATCCGACCTCTAGTCATTACACTATGATCTTTAATTTTACGTAGGTTTAAAGAATACAAGTTTAATAGAAAATTATCAAAAATGGTTTATATGATATTTAAATCCCCCCTTGGATATTGATTAGATTTTCAAAATAACTATGTTGTCGGCAAGGCAAATATCTAAAGTATTATCAATAAAAATATCGTAATTATCCGATCAATTTACACAAATTTATTTTAATATAAAGTTTACTTAAAATATTAAAAATGATCTTTTATATCAACTGTATTTTTTTTTGGTATAATTACCCGTATCATAGGGGTTGAGAACATTTTTTTTTATTAAATTATAGTTCTAATAGCTTCAACTAGCTACCTATTATTATATTATATGGATTGTATGATTATATTATGTATCGTTAAGCAAAATTTGTCCAGTTGGAGTTTAATAATCATATATAGTGTCACAAAAAATAAAAAAACACGGTAGAGTAAAACTAATAAGTTTCTCAGTTACACATCGAAACAAAAATGATATCGACAATTATTATTTTATTTTTAATTATCCCTAAACTCGAATAATTTCTTTGTATGTTTAGAACACCCCTCAAAAAAAAAAAAAATTGCGCTTTAATTATGATACAAAACCTCAGTTTTTATTTAGGTTTATGGAGTCAATTTTAAGTCCACTTTCTTCCTGCATAATATTATGGTACAAATATTATACCTATCTACTATATCATTTTAGAATGAAGCAGTTTTAACGAAAATGTATTCACTTTTATTAGTTTTTAGAACTATTTTTAGTTTAAAATGATTTACCTAGTTCAAAACTAATTCTTCAAGATGGCTTAAGGTTGCAAACACGAAAAAAAAGTATAGTTATTTGAACCTTTCTATAGCTTCCACAGAAATATCGTAGAATTATATATAAACCTATACTCTATATCTTAAGTTCAAATAATTAACTACCGGGGAACTTTTCATAAAAAATCCAGATTATTTATGGGGTCTGAAGCGCCACAGCTTTCATGCAAACTACAATAACAATAATTAATATTGATCAAGTAATTGTAATTTGAACTATTTGTACTAGATAAATCAAAAACTTAGATTAAGATTTCATAGAAAAAATGAATGACAGAAATTTTCACAGTCATTAAAAATTATAATTTTTATTCCTATGGTAATTTCATTCTAACTCCACAAGAATGATAAAAATTACAAACCATAATCAGTTTTACAAACTAATGGACCACCAGAATCACCCTGACAAGCATCTGCTCCTCCATCTAAATTTCCAGCGCAAAACATTCCATTACTAATTGATAATTTTCCATAAACATAGTCAGCTTTACATATTTTTGAATCTATTATCGGCACAATGGCCCATCTTAATATTTTAGCAAAACCTACAAAAAAAAAAAAAAAAATTAATTATTTAATATTTTAACAGTAATTTTTTTTTTGTTTTAAAATAAAATAATATTATTTTATAATTCTATATTTTAAAAAATATTATTTATTCGAATAATTTATTATTAACAGTTATATGAGGTTAAAAGATCCTATTATTACTTTTTTTTTTTACATTTTTCTTTTGATAAATACATTAAAATAAATAAATAGTCTATATATTTTTAATCTATAAACAAATTCATTTTTATAATTAAAAAATGATATCCATGACGGTTAATATGTGACCTCAAGGCAATTGTTTCACGTCTTTAGCATTACAGTAATTTTGTCAAAACTAAAGGATCAAATAAACCCTAAAATCGACTCCATGCTAGAGCGAATAGATAGATGGAAAGATTAAAGATTTCTTTTAACTAGTAAACAATANAGTAATTGAATATTAAAGATTTCTTTTAACTAGTAAACAATATGGCAACACATATATGTTTTTAAAAGCTTATCCTATTTACAATTAGAACAATAAGAAAAATCTTGCAAATTTTCATAGTCAATTGTAGATTGTATTGGCTAATACATCTTTAAGTCAATAGCAAACAATGAAAAATTTTATTTAACACATATTTTACATCTTTCATAAATAGTAAAAATATAATTATGCGGTCAACAGAATCAAAAACTTTACAAAGATTAAGTTTTTAAAAAGTTTAGGATTGACACTCAATTTAGAGATAGGACAATAATTATTTATTTAATATGTTTTTAAGTTTTAAATATAGAACTCATTTAGTTAGTTATCCAAATACCAGAATTTGGCCCTGATCAAGAGACTTACACTTATATTTAAATAAACTGAAACAAGTCTATATTAGTAAAAATTAAATTTAGTATGTTTCCATAAGTGTTTACATATATAAGAATTATTATGTTGGGATAAATTATGTACTGAGAAACAATAAAATATTATGTCTTCTACTCCAGTCCTACAACAATTAACTAACTTTTATTGTCATATGAAAAGGTAGTACCACGAAAATTAAAATCACCGTCAATTATGATATCAACATTATCGCCTAAATGTGAAAACAACCAATTGACTGAGTATCAAAAATTTTATAAACAAATAAATAATTAATCTTTGGAATGTAACAAACACCAATAATGAGTTTCTTAGAGTTATTTTGGGAACTGATACAAATACCTGTTCAAATGAGTAATATGGAATTAATTCACTATTGTACATTAATCAAAACTCTACTACCTCGATTATAATTACTAGTCATATTACGTATATCGCATCTGTAATTATAATTGAAAAATCTAATTCTAAGTTAAATACTTCAGCTATTAGTCAGGTTTCAGCTAACAAAAAAAATTCATGATTATTACATGGACCATTACAATTAATGTTTTTTAGCTTATTGTTTAAATTTATAACGTTTTATAATAACCATATAAATTACGTTTACGATTCGAATTATTTACAATTTTACATTACAAGACTGGCTGTTCTATGCCTCTTAGTTTTTTTTAAAATAGAGTGAAGACTGCATCAAATAATTTTATTAACCAGTCACCATTTCCCAATTTTTTAAATTTTATTTCTTAATATCCAGCATTGGTAATGTGAAAAGATATGGTTATGACTAATTAATTTTTTTTAAGTATTATTATTAATTAAAAAAATTAATTAACAAAGTTACTTGATCCAATTGATCCATCTGATCCCCAACCAGTAATACTACAATTGAAATCGTCTTTTACTTTTATATCCTTCGATGGTAAACACACAGGTTGAACATATTTATTAAATTTAATGCCATTGGTTTTTAATTTAATAACAGCTATGTCATTATTTAGCTTAATACTTCCTTCTTCAAAATTTTCATGGTTATAAATTTCATCTATATAAATATCTTGTTCTGAATCTTCTTGAAACTATAAAAAGTTATTTAAAATTTTAAATGATCAATTTTTATGTTAACTTCTTAAGTCATACATCCATGTCATAGTCTCCGATTCGTACATAATATACATCTTTATCTAAATCTCGAACACAATGTGCTGCAGTCATTACATGATATTCAGATATAATTACTGCTCCACATACATGTGCCATTTGACCTGAAGGAGTTTTTGATCGTATACTAGCCTGAAATTATTTTATTAGAATATATCATATTGTTACTAAGAAACAATAAAAATTCTTAACAAATGAAATATAAATCCATTAAAGTCGGAGGATATTAACAAAATTACTTTATAAAAATTTTTAAATCTCTTATTCTAATAGTATAATATATATATATAACTTTAAATAAAAAAAAAAGATAACACAATAAAGTCATGACACAGAGTAGATGAGGTATAGTTAGGACAAATATAGAAATCTGACAGTGATTAAAATCACTATCTTATAAAACGCTTGTATGTAAATGAAAATAGTGTTTAATTTTAAGAAATCAGTGGATTATTCAAAAAGGAACATCAACTTCTATTTCCTTAATTATATCCTGAATAGTAGTTAATGATTTAGCATGACCTAGTGAGAAGAAACGTATGTTTCAGTGCACGAGGTCCTGGGTTCGATTCCCAGGGTGCCAACGAAAATTTTTTATCATTGGTGGTGTCTAGTCTCTGGTGCCGGCCATAATATCCGTCAAGTTTATCATTGGCTTAACCAGGAACCATCTTTGACTCCCCAACATATGATAGTGAGCCACTACCCTCTGTAGTATGTTAAATTCGAAAAAATAAAAATATGTAAAATTGATCATTATTTTATCCTAATTAGTAATTATTTGATTTATATGTATAATTTATAAATAAATACTTACTATAGTAATTAAATTTAATATGAAATTAATATTCAATAATTTAATATTATTTTTACGGATAAATTATAAAGTAGTTGTATACTTCGTTACTTCTATAGCAAACGGATATAAAATTGAAGGGTTTGATGCAAAAATTTCAGAAAATAATTTTTTGTTAATTATGAATTTATATACTGGTTTAAAATGAATTTTTATCAGAGTGAAACATACACTTTTCTACACCAATTTTTCGTGCTGATATCAAACATGTAATTAGATTTTTTTCTATCACCTCTTACTCATAAAAATTTATTTTGATTTTTGATATGCTAAAAATAATCCATGTAAAATTCATATTCAATATGTCATCCTTAACCTATTATTTTAGCCCTTCTACTAATTAGTAAAAAATAAGTAATAATACATAAAAAAATATATAGGTAAAAATAAAATTTAACAACACACAGCAGACGAAATAATAGGAAAAAATTAAATACGAAATATAGTCCTGAATATTTCAACTGTAGTGTGATGGTGTCACGTTTTCATAATCGTGAGAATTATTTTAATAAAATACAGACAGCACATCCGCTGCCTGAGACTGATGAATTAACAAATAATATTTATTCCCAATTTGGCAATAGTTCTAATTATTATAAAAACCCAAAAGACCTGACCATCGTGGTCAGTCGACTCCAGTGCCTTGTGTCATTCGTCAGTCTCAGTACTCGGTTGTCGCTGTCCGGCTTACTGCTTAAAGTAAAGTCTTTGTTTATTCCTTTTTAAAACCTGTCTACTCTCTTCCACAACATTTCAGAGTACTTGTGTCTTGCACTTCGTCTGCACCTCATACTTTGGGCTCCTTTTGCGTACACCTGGTATTTGTGTCTTGCACTTCGTCTGCACCTCATACCTAGGTGTTACTCTTATTCCCTTATAACAACAGCCTTTCGACACCCACAGCTAACCTGGAGTGTCAGCTGAGCACGGTGAATGCTGTACGACAACACGCACGTGAATACCTAGACAGCAGACACCACATCCTCATCCATCCTCCTACTCTTTTTTTACTCGTTTCATTTTACTGTGTTACGACAGTAGCATATATTTAAACACCAAGAGTTACATAGAAATTATTACTATGATTTTTACTGAAATTTTCAGTTTTTCTCGTAAATATACTGTTAATGAAATCATATAAATTCCTGACCACGTGTCAAACTAAATAATAAGATTTTTTAAATCCTCATAACATTTTCTGTTTAATGATATCAATTTCAACACATTAAATATCAAAATAAATTTTTATATGTAAAGACTCGTTTTTACTAGTTACTAATAATCTCGAAAATAGAAAAAATCTAATTGCAGATTTGAAATAAGTGCGAAAAATTCAATTAGAAAAGTATATTTTAGTCTATACTCATTAAAAAATGTTTCATTTTTGTGATATAATTTTTCTGTGTCATTCAGTATAAAAACGAATTTTATACTACTATTATTTGTGGAGATATTTAATTTTAAAAGTACATATTTTAAATAAAGTATTATTATTAAAAAAATTTTTAATTTTTTACTTTTGACAGCTAATTTTCCATAGTAGAACAGTTATCAGAACAAATTTAATTACCTTATAGTACACTTTAAAAGTGTATTAGATGTAAGTTTGCATAACGAAGTCGTTTAGAAACATATCCAAAAATTATTGTTTTAAAAAATATTTATACAGTATAATGTTATCAAAAAATTTTGAATATTATGGATTGGTAGTAGACTATACAAATAAAGTCAAGATATTAATAAATAACAAAGTAAAATTATTTAATTTTGTAGTTTAACCATATTATCATATAAAACCTAATTTAACAATAAATACTTTAATAACATTAGAAATTGATGATTTTAATTGTCTATATTAAGAAATTGGGTTAAGTAACTTTTTAATTGATAAGGGGTAAATTTTGTTTCATTTTTGTAAGTAATATTTTGTGATTTTTTGACGTTTGGTTGAAAAAAATTGTTCAAATTAGAATTGAGGAAAATTAATGACAAACACAAAATAAAAACCATATAGTAAAATAATTTAAATATGAAATTCCTTCTCACAAGGGGAGGCTACAATGATGGGGACCTTGAAATTCATTAAAGTGATTCCATCTAAAAAGATAAAAACCAAACAAATTTTTAATTTTTTTCCAACTCAAAATTAATCAAAAAAAAAAATGCAAAAAATGCCATGTCGACGATTAGGGTTATAACCTTGTATCTCGATCATGAAAGTTAATTAAAGCTTTTTGGCTTTAATCAACGATAACTTCTTAAGTTATCAAGTTTTTGGATAATTTTTTTTATCATCATAAAATACTATGCATTAGCTTTAATTTTATAAACGTTTAAAAAATTCAAATTTTTCGAAAAAAGTGTCCAAAATATGGAGTTATGTTGATCTTTTTACTAAGCCCTTCATTATCAAATCCTGGCTACCACACTACCAGCGTTGCCCCTAAGATCAGCGTGTCCTCATTTTATAAAGCCAATATTTACTGAACATGTTTCTATAAATCTCTTTTTCTTTTTATAATCATCAGTTTATACCTGCCATGGATGGACACCTCTTTCTGAAGTGAATCCAGATGCTATCCTCATTTGTATTTTACTTTTTTCCAATGATACAATTTTTTTACCACATTGAGTGGGTAAATATTCTTTCAATAATTTTTTATTAGTTATAATCTCATATTTAGGTAAAATAACTGTGTCATTCTTCTAAAAAATAATTAATACATTTAATATTTTGAAATTCGAGATACAAACAGAATGTTACTTGTTTTCTGTCCAAATGACATATAACTGAGACATCTTCATCGTGTTTACAATTATGTTGACCCCATTTGGCATGAATACAATGTTCTAATGATGTCTCATTACCTATACAACGTAATTGATCTAACCAAATTTGCCCTTTACCAGGCCCAAAGGCAGCATCTTTTTTAAACTATTTAAAAGTATATGTTCAACTCATAAAATTTATAAATTCTTAATAAATGTACATGGAGTGATCCGTTTAACAAAATCCAATCAATTACTTTCAAAATTGAACATATATAACGAAATACATAATAAACTAGCTTATAAAATAAAAAATTATTGGTTGATAACAACTTTTGAAACAGTATTTTGGCATTTATTAGAATTTAAGATATAGACTAGAAGGTAAAGCGAGGTATGACTATTTATATCATTAGTTATTTTTCAGCCGTACTTAATCAGCCTGAGTATAAAAATGTAAACTTCCAAAGTACTAGTCTAAAAGTTGTTATCGACCAGTCATATTCTTAATTGGATAAATTTCTGTTTTATAAGCTAATTAAATATATATGTTGCCATTTAAACAAATAAAGTTGACACCCTTATAAGATATAAGGGTTGAATTGAAAATGTACTTAATAATTAATAAATCAATAAATATATGTAACTAAAAAAAGCAAAAAAAATATTTTATAATTTACAGTAAAACATCGTCAATGTGAACATCATTATGTACAAATATGAAGAGGCGGGATTATATTGGAGAGCATACCATACCCAAGCGTCTGAGGTTTTTAGGAATTTTGGGTGGTTTTTGACTCTTTAATGTAGTTCTGTCTTGTCATAATTGAATCCAGCTTAACGAGTTTACTGTATTTATATTTTTTAAGTAATTGAGTAGATTATGATAAACACTCTGTATATACTAGGTTGCTTACATCTGCACTACCCTTGTAGCCAAGATGATTACAAATTACAAGAGCTTCTTTTGTTCCAAAATCATCATCACATACTGTTCCCCAAATACCATATTGACGCACTTCTACTCTACCTTCAAGCCCAGCGCGACGTTCATTACCACCAACTAAACGAACTTCTAAAGGAGACTAAAAAACAATAAAAATGTAAAAAAAGGTTTATTAAAATATAAATTAAAAATAACTTAGGTTGGTACATATTGACTAAAATAATTGGTTTCGTAAATATAATGACTAATTAAGTGAAAATGATTGGCATTTTTTTGAGATGAAAGTTTTAATTAATTGATTAATTTCACATGAATTCATGAAGATCATGAAAAAACCCTACCACCTAGTTTTTGTATATAAAGAAATAAATTATTATATAATAATTATATTTGCTAATTATAGCAAATAGAATTTTTTACAAATCATAATTGCAAATTCACAATATTTTAATATATTCATAGTAACAATCTAATTTTTTTTTAACAACAAATCTATTATTTAAATTGTTTATAATTAAGGTAATTTTAGTTTTACCTTCAAATTTATCTTAGTACAAATAATAATAAAATGTTTGGATAAAATGTGGTTAAAAGATAATATTTAGACTAAAAATTGATTACATTTAAATTGATTTCAATTTTTTTCATATTATACAACAAAAATTTCTTATTTTTAGCAAATAATAAATGTTTTTTTTCCTTCAAAAATTTTGTAATATATAAGAAATAAATAACTAATATTTGAATGTTAAGTGTTGCTATTGGGTGACTTCTTATCAAATTTACATGGCATATAACTACCCTTATTTTATAAGCTCATTATACAAAAAATTACAAAGAATGTTTATGTCAAATAAAAAAAAAGTTTTGTAAGCTCTTTCTTGTAGATCAAAACAATGCATCAATATTGAATATTATTAAATTAAATGTATTTTCTTTCAAACCAACCACATTTTAAGTTTTAAATTCATATTTTCGAGACTATTAAAAAAGGTGAAATCTAGATCAAACTAAAACTTAACTCATTAATAATATTCTGTTAATTTTGTTTTTGGTGATTAAATAAATACAAAAATAAATAAAATTTTTAAAAAATTGTTTTATTCACTTAATTTTTTAAGTTAATATTAGTTAAACTAATATTAGTAAATAAATTAAAAAAAAAAAACTGGCATACAGTTTAATATTTAATAACAATATATGCTAAGTATAATTAAAATTTTATAAACGAGTTGCATTTTTCTTTTGAGCTATTTTCTGGATATATTTTTTTGGAGCTTTTGTTGTAGCACTAGTTTTTGTGGGTTTTGTAGTTGTAGGAGAAGTGACACTCACATTGCACCTATCTGGATGTTCATCTGATTTGTCAGTACAGTCTGCATATGAATCACACAAAAAACGAATAGGTATACATTCCCCTGATTGACATTCAAATTCTTCATTTGTACAATTTTTTCCACCAGGTACACGACAAATAACTCCAACCGACTATAATTCAGAAATAAAAATAATTAAAACGCAATTTTTGTATTCAATTATTTAATTGAAAAAAATCAATATTATTATAGTTATTTTATAATAAAATAAGTTGTCAAAGACAAATCAAATAAATCATTTTGTAAAGATAATCTTTAAATCACATTGAGTAATAATATAACCTCTTGAGCATTACAATCATGAATTCCCCATTCTTTAAACTGACAAGAATACAAAGATTTTTCGTTTCCTCGACATTCCAAATCATCCAAAACAAACCGTGTTTTATTAACAGGCACTCCAAAGTATGAATTTGACTTGACAGCTAATGAAGATGGGAAACCTAATTCTCGACACACAACATCAGCTTCACGGACATCAAATTTATCATCACAAATCATACCCCATTCACCAAGAACTGAAATAAAATGTAAATAATTATTAAAAGTTAAACATGAGAATATAAATAAGATGATGGTGTTTTTTATTTATTGTGAGAACTCAAAAAATTTTGTAATGTATTTTTAACAAAGAATTCAATTTTGAGATTTTAGAGATAGGGCTGTTGCCATCTAAAATGAAAAAATATACTTCATTGATGATAAAACAAATGAAATTACGTTTTCGTTATAACCATTAAATTTAACTATTTCTCTTATAATCTCCAGTTATTTATCAAAAGCTATATTACTAGTCGGAATATTAATTAATCTGCAAACCATACTATTAAAAGTTTCCAATTTGTGTTGTCATGTGTACGTGTTTTTCCGATAATTTTCAAAATTTCAAATAGATATACAGAACGTTATAGTTGTAATATTTTTTGAATTAGAAGGTAAAATTTAAATTTAAGCATGCAAAAGCTATTTCTTTACGGGTATATTGATATTTGTATATTTACCTTTAACTTCAACACGGCCTTCGTAAGTTGTATTACCACCCGCTAACCTGATTTCATAACCCATCTTTTTATCAGTGCCGTTACATTTATTCTCATCACTACGATCCCCACAATCATTGTGGCCATCACATTCCTGTTACACTATTAATCTTTATATTTGTTTTTTTAGTTATCATTATAATTAAACATACGCAAACCAATTGTTTATTTATGTATTAGTAATTTTAACTTGTAGAATACTCAATAATTAAAACAAACCTGGACTTTATCAATACAATTTCCATTGTCACAAATAAATTTTCCAAAACAATCTGCATTATTAGCTTCGTAATAAGTCCATTCCTTATGTGGTTCTAAAAATAAACTATCATTTTTCAATCCATCACTTAGTATACATGTTTGATCAACTTCGCTGAAAAATGATTAATTATGGATTATTACAACTAAATAAAAAATGTATGTAAATGTATATAATACGATTTTTTTCTTTTAAATAATATACAATCTGTTACAAGTTAGAAGAATAATTATATATACACCAAGAGTCTAGATGATTAAAGTATGAAGTATTATTAATAAGTATGAATGAATACAAATGGTCCCTGTGGATAGGAGATAATAATACTTCCACGGCCCCTCTGCCAGTCGTAAGAGGCGACGGCATACAATTTTGTAAAAAAGTATGAGGAGTCCTGAACAAAACTTAGATGATGGTTTTTCCCATCTCAGATGTATGCAGGAATAATAGGTGATGAGAAATAAAGTATAAAAATATTGAATAGGAGAAGAGTTAACATTTGTTGTGTGCAGGAAACTAAGTGGAAAGGAGAGAAATCGAGGGATATTGGTGAGGATTATAAAATAATATTGTCGTAACACAATAAAAGAAATGAAACAAGAGTAAAAGTGTAAAATGTAATTGTGATGTGTACGAAGATGAAGATGAGGATGTAGTGCCTGCTGTCTAGGTATTCTCACGTGAGTGTTGTCGTACAGCAGTCACCGTGCTCAGCTGACACTCCAGGTTAGCTGTGGGTGTCGAAAGGCTGTTGTTATAAGAAGGGAATAAGGGTAACACCTAGGTATGAGGTGCAGACGAAGTGCAAGATACAAGTACTCTGAAATGTTGTGGAAGAGAGTAGATAGGTCTAAAAAGGAATAAACAAAGACTTTACTTTAAGCAGTAAGCCGGACAGCGACAACCGAGTACTGAGGCTGATGAATAACACAAGGCACTGGAGTCGACTGACCACGATGGTCAGGTCTTTTGGGTTTTTATAATAATTAGAACTATTGCCAAATTGGGAGTAAATATTATTTGTTAATTCATCAGTCTCAGGCAGCGGATTTGCTGTCTGTATTTTATTAAAATAATTCTCTCGATATTGGTAACGTGACACCATCACAATATAACTCAGGTAATTCTAATATAAAGAATGGTGTAGGAATAATAATGGATGAGGAGATGAAAAGTAAAGTAGTAGAAGTAGCTAGGAAAAGTGACAGAATTATAGTTGTCAAAATCAATATTCGAGGAAAAAGTGCTGAATGTAATAAGTGCTTTTGCACCACAAGTAGGATGTGATGAAATAGACAAGGAAGTATTTAGGAGAGAGATGGATGAGTTGTTGCAATGAATACCTGGTAATGAGGATGCAGTGATAGGTGGAGATATGAATGAACATGTATGTAATGAAAGGAGAGGATATGAAAGAGTACATAGAGGGTATGGTATTAGTGGAAAGAATAAGGCTGGAGAAAGAATCCTGGATTTCGCAGTATCGTATGATCTTGCTGTAGTTAATACTTATTTTATTTAGAGGGAAAAACATTATATCACTTATAAAAGTTGGAGTAATAGATCACAGATTGATTATTTTTTGTGGAAGAGAGAGAGCGTAAAGCGAGCAAAATATTGTAAAAATATACCAGGCTAGAGTGAAACTACACAACATAGACTGATGGTAATGGAGGTGTAATGTACCGGAAAGAGACTATAAAAAAAAGGAAGGAACACGTGGAAAAATCGAAAATCTGGTGGCGGAAATTAAAATGGGAAAATGAATAAGAGTTTGTAAAGACAGTAAAAGAAAGACGGTGTGGAATATCGAGGGAGAAAAAATTATGTATTGAATAGATTTGCTAGTTGTGTAAAGAATACTTTACAAAGATTGTTTGTGAGAGTAGAGTAGAATGCCAGGAAACAAGGAAACCTGGTGGTGTGATGAGGATATTCAAAAATATTTAGAAAGTAAGAAAAAGCAATTCAATGTATGACAGAAGAGCAAAAGAAGAGAAGATTGAATGGAGTATAAACGCTTGTGCAAAAAAGATAATTCTGCAGAAGTAAGGCGAAGTTAAAGAGGTATGATAGGCTAGGAACAAAGGAAGGCGAGAAAGAAATCTATATACTTGCAAAAGTAAGAGAATTAAGTCTAAAGATTATCATCATGTAAGGTGAATAAAAAGTGTTGGTAATAGGGTACTATCGAGTGATGATGATGTAAAAGAAAGGTGGAAAGAATATTTTAAAAAATTATTGAATGAGGAGTATCCAAAAGAGACATTAGAGGATATCTTGTGAAATGAGGGACATACAGTAGTGTGGAAATTATAGAGGCATAAAACTTATGAGTCATAGTATGAAAAATGGGAAAATGGTAATAGATAAGAGAATAAGAAATGAGACATTGGTATCTAAAAAGTAGTTTGGATTTATGCCTGGTAAGTCAACAATAGAGCCAGTATTTTGTGTGAGGCAACTAATAGAAAAATTAAGGGAAAAGAAGAAATAGCTTTGTATGGTATTTATAAATTTAGAGAAAGCGTATGATAGAGTACCGAGAGAGGTTTTAAAGTGACTATTAATGAGAAAAGGAGTCCCGAAAAGATACATTAATAAAATAGAAAATATATATGATGGCACATTTTTACCCGTGTAAAAAGCGTAGGAGGAGTAACAGAAGGGTTTCGGGTAAGAGTAGGAGTACACCAAGGTTCTGCTTTAAGCCCTTACTTATTTTCTATAGTGATGGATAAAATTACTAGAGTAATTCAAAGAGAAGTGCCGTAGTGCATGTTGTTTGCTGACAATATAGTATTAATAGGAGAAAATAGGGAGGAAATTAATCAAATTCTAGAGGTATGGAAATCAGCTTTTGAAGAAATGGGTTTAAGAATAAGTAGAAGTAAGACAGAGTATATAGAGTACGAGTTTTGACAAAGGAGAAAACCCAAACGAGGTGATATGAGAAGATCAATGGTAATAGGCGAGGATGTGTTTGAAGAGGTGGAAAGTTTTAAGTATTTAGTGTCAATTGTGTAAAAGAGCTGTGTTATTGACGAGGTTATAAGACACATGATTTAGTGCAGGTGGTTGAAGTGGAGAGAAACGTCTGGTGTTTTATGAGATAAAAAAATTCCAATGAGGCTGAAAGATAAATTATACAAGACTGTAGTGAGGCCATTTTCGTATTTTAGTAAATAGCTAAAATTACATTTTCATTTATTTTTATAACTCTTTATAATGTTGATTTCACTAATTAGTAATTTCATTATAACGATTAAAGTTACAATATGTTGAAAAAATTTAAAAACTTAATAAGTTTTAATAAGTACATAAAAATTAACATGTATTCATTGTTATATGATGAGTCTAGGTATATGATGTTGTTAGCTGACTATATAGTATTAATAGGAGAAAATAGGGGGTGTTGGTATAAGGTGGTTGAAGGATTTTTAAAAAAAAATCTAGAAGGAATTTAAAATTTAGAAAGTAAAATGCCAAAAGAATGAATGAATAGTGTTGTGGTGCTGATATTATATATTAATAACCAGAACGGTAAAAAAACATAGATTATTCAATATTAATTTAATCGAATTAAAATTTTACAATTGACCATATTATAACTTATTATTTACATTAAAAAAAAAAACTTTGTATTTTTAAATGGGAACACATATTTTGAATTTAATAAAATGTATGAATTTTTAATATAACTTTATGGTTTTATTAGATATAAACTGTTAATGTTTCTAATTTTTGGGTTAATGTACATGTATAATACACAAGAAATTACAAATACAGGTAGCTAATTGTTTTTTTATGACATCATAGTCATGGGGTGTTTATTGTCAATTATGATTATTAATAGATATACTTTCTGTATTGTCAGTTAGTGTATTTATAAACTCACAACAATGTTCCTTTCTAATATTGATAATAAATGCTGTGTACTTGCGAATATCAATGTCATAAAAAACCAATTAACTATCTGTATTGGTAATCCCTTCTCTATTATACATGTATGTTAACTAGAAATTTTGAAACTTTATTTGTTTATATCTAATACAGCTTTTAATCTCAATCAAATAAATAAGTTATTATATTTTTATTTCTCGTTACGCATTTTTTGACACTTTAATTAATGCATTTTTTACTTTCATTCTGCGTTTTTACTTTAAGCTATGCAAATGTGATGAGAATTTTTTTTATCTGACAAACATGAATTAAATGTTGTATTAGACGGAATTACACCATTGAAAGTGAAATTATGATGTGAATAATAAAGTTTATATTATTAACAAAAATTATTATATAAGAATGGTCTAATACTGCAAAACTTTACACAGTTCAAATATTAGTTTGATTTTCACTAAATACTTTAAAACTAATATTTTTACTAAATAATAAATTAAAGTTAAATTTTTACTATTGAATTGCACAATGTGGTTTTAAGAATATTAAATTATTGTTGTTAAAAACGATTGATTTAATTTTGCAACACTCTGTTTATAAAAATTTCTTAAATATTGAAGAAAATTAAAATAAATAACATACCTATGTGAAAATGACCGACACACAAAACCTTCAGACATAATACAGCGATTAGCACAAGTATGGACAGTAGTATGAAGCCACTTTTCAATTTCATTGCTTGGTAAACGAACTTCTGGAGTTTTAGAAAAGTTATCTAATGGATTGGTACAATTTTTTTCGTCAATTCCATTGCTACAATCCTTAAGAAGAAAAATAAAACTTAAAATTACAATAAAGGCAAATAATAAGGGTCCTGTAGTAGGGTGTCAAACGTTTTTATATTTTAGCTTAATTGCATTTTTGAGAAAATATGAACAGTTAATTACTACTGGGTTAAGAAGAATTTCAAAGTTTTTGTGATCATTACTTCGTGTTTTGAACAGCTTGTTTATAAGTTTTAAAATTCTTTCATCCAAAACTTATTTATAAGGTTTCCCTATTGGGTGATAAATATTACAAAGAATTATAATTCGGGTCACATTTTATTAAATTTTTTTTACTCATTTTTTTTTTGAATTTCAATCAATTTTCAAAAATTCTAAGTTTATCAAGTTAATCAATCGTATACAAATATAATTTGACTCTGATACATGTTTTATGTAGGTTTTAGATAACTATGAGTTCAAAGCCAAGATAAGAAAATTAAATAAAAATTATTCTAATGCTAAAAAAAAAATCGTACAATATTAACATTTTGTTAATATTAATGATTTTTATAGTTAAAATACTAAGTGTCATCAAAAATATGTTTCAAAAAGTTATTTTTAATAAATAATAATTATAATAATTATTTTTATTATTATTATTATTATTTTAATAAATAAATAAATAATTGTGATAAATAGTACATTAATTAATTCTCTTGAAGTAAGTGAAAAAGTTTTGATAACTACTTTTTCAGAATGTCAAAATATAATACATTGACTTATTAAAGATAAATTTAAATATTTATTTTAATGCATTAAAATATTTTTATCTTCTTATAAGTGAGGTAAAACTTTTAAATCACCTTTAACGAGTACATTAATAATTTTATCGTTAATCTATGTATAGAATTTTCAAAAATCACCAATTTGCCCCCTATAATTGTTATTTATGTGAATAAATATTATTATTTAAACTTATTCATATTTTAATAATCTTGAACTCATTTATCTATTTTTAAATAAATCTATATCAAATAATTACATAAGTAAATTGACAGATTAAGATATATACTATCTTTAATATTATTTATTTTATTTGGCTTGTTCTTCTATTCATTGGCGATAGAAGAATTGTGTTAAAGAAATATGTAAGCGATAGCAAAGACATGGCCAGATGGATATAGAGATCCATTCGTGAATAAATCCTAACTACGCCATTGATAACGTTGTATTAAAGTTTGTTTATCTACCTCAATACTAAGGTGGAACAAAATTAGTATATATTTTTAAGTTTTATCTTAATACTAAAATCATATGCTGGTAAAAAATAACTAATTAAGTTAAATTTAAAACAAATGATAGATAAATACCTAATGTATCTATAAAATTTTTTTTTTGTTTCTATTCATCCATTTTTCAAAAAGTTATGACAAGTTTGAAAAGTGTCCGAATTACTGATATATAAAGTTGAAATTTTTTAGGGTTTTTCCCTCATTTACGATGAATGAGGAAATTTTTTCTATTTTTAAGGGTGATGTCTTCGACAAGATACGTTTTGTAATCTTTTGACGTATTGTTTATCAAAATCGGTTTAGTGAGGGCTGAGGAAATATGGTAACAGACCCCCCCTCCAAAAAAAAAAAATGACTGGAATATATGACAATTGATTGTAAATAATAAACTGTAAGCAATTGATTGCATAATATTTTATCGAAAATGATTGCTTGTAAAACCATAAAATAATGAGTCGTTCCTTTAGTTTTATTATAAGCTACAATGCATTAGGTACGATAATTTTATAGTTTAGTTTCCAATTTATATAGTACAAATTGTATTTATCATGGCATTACATTACGATATTAGAGAAATCTTTTTTTAAATTTCATATACATCAAAATTACACACATACCGTAAAAAAGGTGTATAAGAACAAAACTTATTGATTAAAACTATTAGAAATATATATTTATAATATAAATATTTAATAATTATACATTAATATATAATTTATAAAAATTATAAATGTAAAAGCCGAATACAAGGTGTCAATAAAAAAACTATCGAATCTAACTTCATGGGATAGCTGATAATTTTCAATTACGAAAATAATTATTAAAATTTTATTTTACTTAAGTCAATTTTTTTTTCTATATAATTGTTTATTGTACCAATTTTTTATATTTTACGATCATTAAATTTGCGACAAAAAGTTATTTCGATAAATTTTATTCGAAATTGACGAGATACCAATGAAGTTTTATAAGTTACTAAAAAAAATAGATTAAAAGAAATATTAGCATTGGTAATTCAATAATATTATGATATTTTATTTGATTAACTAACTACAGCAGAAATTAAAAAATTAACCAAGTTATTAAGTTTTTTGCGCTTAATTAAATCGATTTACACGAAACACTACTAAAATTGTATATTTATTTTTTTCTCTTGAATTCACTGAAACTTATGCAAAAAAAATTTATCAACATTTGGATACTGGCTATAGAATTTTTAAAAATTGGGTTGAAAAAAACGGTATGATTTAAAAAATTTGGAGATTTGAACAACTATAAATCAAGCGGAAAATCAATTAATCAATAATTATTAGAAAATGTAATTCCTAATATTTAATACAATTGGTTATATATGAATTTGAAAATATTGTTAATTTATAGTATAAAAACTTACTGCCTGATTATCACACACCCAAGCTTGGTTTATACACTCATTAGGTTGGCATTCAAAATATCCTACATCACACTTGATTTGTTGATTTAAAGCACTAGCTATAAAAAATATATAAATTTGTTTTTATAAGTAATTTTAGATATATAAGGTATGTAAAACCAAAAAGGTTCAGATCATAAAAAGAAATTATCATCTGATAGAAGCGAAAATATGTAGAGTTATTGACGTTTTTGTATTTACCAAATTAAGACAAATTGGTTTATTATTCATTCTAGAATTGCCTTTAGGGCCTCCAAAAAATTTTCCTACATACCTTAAGAAATGTAATTACGCAGGGACACCCACAGAAAGGGAAGTATCTCAGAGAGTGTAAAACTTAAGGACGATAGCTCAGATTCTCCTTACACTCCAGGGGTATATTTATAGCTAAAGAAGGTAAAACTATGCCTGAATTCATGTGACTACTCAATTAAATTCTAAAAATGGAAATTTTAGCAAAAAAATTTATCAAAAATTATATTAAAAATCTCATTAATCCTTAAAAAAATTCTAGATACGCATCAACCATATCTCTTCAAATACGGCATAATATTAATCGATACACTTATTGTTAAAAATTTAATTTTTTCAAATTATTTCTAAGATCAAAGTTATTAACTAAATAACAAAATTATTGCATCTATCATGTCATGAAAATAATGAGAAAATATTTTATGTATTCTTATAAAGAGGACAATTTTGTTATTATGAACAACTGCTCAATTACATGAAAATTATAAATAGTATTAGCAATAAGAGAATTTTCAAATTACCTTTAAGAACCGTTTTTAAAGTCAATTATGATATTAGAAATAAAAAAACGGAAATTTGTCAAAAACCCAATTCTTTTAAATATTCTAAAAATCAGTACTTTGTGCAATAATAATTTTTTTTACTGTATTTTATTAATTTATGAGTAATGACAATTTATTGTTTAATAGAGATTAATGAAACTCAAAAATTATTATAAAAATATACTTAAGTCACTCACTCAATGTTCAATATTTTTGAATGGGTTGATAAAATAGTTATTGTAACAAGGACCTATTTTTCGCAATCGAGTTTAGTTTTAATTTTAGTTATTAGGTGGTCATAATGCTCATGCACTCATATCTGTTGGTCCATTGTGCACATGTTATCGTGTTTAATACATTAAAGATCATTATAAAAATAAATTTTTTGGAACATTTTAAATTAATCTTTGACATTTCAAACATACAAAGTTATATCGTTATCATATAAAAAAACAAAAAATTGTTATTTATCCATTAAAAAAAAAAATTTGTTAGGCATTAGTCATTTCATGACTAATTTAACTGATTATGATAACAGTATCACCCTACTTATATAGATCATCTTTCAAGCACACAAAATATAATTTTTACCTCTAAATGACTTAGCAGCAGTGCTACAGGTAGGAATATCACAAAATTCACTACGAACCATTCCAACTGTCGATTGAACATAACACCAAGGTTGCAAATCAGTTCCATCTGGGTTCCTACATTTATTATGCTTAGTTAATAGAATTTTTCGAGTTTTTTCTGAAACTCGATATTTCATTGCTGCTAAAACTGTTGCATCTTCCCACGATAAACATTTATTACCTGAAGCAGTAGTGTTGGCCGCACCATTGTAATCAGAACCAGCGCCATTAATACAACCTAGAGTTTATATTTTTAAAAGATAAAATAAAATTTTGATACAGTTAAAATTAAATCCTTTCACTTTGAGACTATGAGAAATAGTTATGTAAAACTATAAGTTGAAATTTTACTCGAATTAAAAAAAATTGTTAATACTCATAAGATGTAAGGAAAACCTACTCTAGGATTGCAATACATATTATTTTTAGTATATGACCATATTTAATATATAGAGGGTCGTTCTTTTAATACGAAATACTCGATTTCTCTTAAAATAATAGTTCTTTTGTGAATTTTCATTTTATTGGTATTGTTCATCCCTTACCCCTGTGGGTGGGGGACAGAATACACCCACGGCAGTCCATGCCCGTCGTAAAAGTCGACCAAAATGGACCTAACAATGGGCAGTAACATTGTTAGTATCAAGTATAGATTTATCTATACTTGAATAGCATCCCTTATTAATAAGAGATGTCATTGCGATGCAGAAGGCAACGGGAAACCACTGCATTAATTTTCCCAAACATCAAGCAATGAAGGTCAACCATATGAATGATATAAAACGAGACGATGGGATTCGGAACCCGGAGTCCAGCAGGGGAAGACAGAGCATGGCTTCTCAGGTCGTCAGCCAGCGAAATCCATGCCAAAGCACAAGACAAAACATTGAAAATAAAATCAAAAATAAAACAATTCCAACTAAAATAGGAACGTGGAACGTGAGAACGTTGTTAAGACCAGGAAGATTTGAAGAACTTAAACAACAAATGACACTTAAACAGCTTGATATTTTATGAGTGTGTGAAACTAGATGGGGTGACAACGGAGATTTCTGGAGTGATAATTTTCGAATGATACATAGTGGAGATAAACAAGGGAAAAACGGTGTTGGAATATTATTAAACAAAGAATGGGGACTGCAAGTAGAAAATACCTATCATGTGAATGATAGAATATTACTAATAAAATTAAAGACATCCACAGTAGACATGATAGTCATCCAGGTATACTTTCCAACCTCGAATAGTGGAGACGACGAAATCGAACAAGTGTATGATTCTCTAGATGAACTGCTAGGAATAACTCGAGATAACGATAATGTAATTATTATGGGCGATTTCAATGCGGTAGTAGGAGAAGGACAAGACAATCAAATAGTAGGCAAACATGGCTTAGGAACAAGAAACATCCGAGGTGAAAGATTAGTCAATTTTTGTAAGCAGAACAATTTTCTAGTTTCCAACACAATGTTTGAAGTACCAAAAAGAAGACGCTATACATGGGTAGCACCAGGGGATACTAATCGTTACCAAATTGACTATGTGTTAGCAAAGAGCCGTTTCAAGAACCAAATAATGACAAGTCACAGTTTTCCTGGCGCGGAAATCGATAGCGATCATAACCTAGTAGTGATGAAGTACAAAATAATACACAAGAAAATTACAAAGCGACCCAAATGTAAAATATGGGACATAGAAAAACTTAAAAATGAAGAAACAAGGCAAGAGTTCCAAAACAAGGTTCATAACGGAAAAATAGCTGAGGGTATCGACCCACCATGGGAAAAAGTGGTTAATAATATTCGGAAAACTGCCGAAGAATCAATTGGATTTAGGAAACTAAATCCAAGGAAACCATGGATAACGAATGAGATAATGGACTTAATAAAATACCGCAATAAATTAAGGAAGACTGATGATTCGATGTATAGAATAATAAAGAACCGTATTACCCAAAAGTGCAGAGATGAAAAGGAGAAATGGATGGATATAACATGTGAAAAAATTAAAGCAAATATGACTGCAAATAGAATGGACAAAGCATATGGAATGATTAAACGATTGTCAAGATTACCGAAGCCAAGAAGCAAAATTGTTAAGGATATGAATGGACAACTGATTTTAGATGAAGGTGGAATAGTGACGAGATGGAAAGAGTACATAGAAGATTTGTATAAAGGTTGTATAGGAGAAAATGACATAAATATTGAAAATATAAGTGAGTCAAACAGAGAAGACATAGGGCCAAATATAACAAAAAGCGAATTTATTAAAGCACTAAGTGAATTGAAACAAGGTAAAGCGACAGGAGTAGATGACATCCCAGCAGAACTATTAAAAACGTCGGAAAAGATACCGAAAATAAGCTATATGAAATGATTGAGGAAATGTATAGGGATGGCAACATTCCGGAGGACTTTGCCAAAAGCAAAATTGTACTTATCCCTAAAAAAGGGAATTCCACAGAATGCAAGAATTACAGAACAATAAATCTCTTAACACATGCGTCCAAAATACTTCTTATCATCATAAAAAATAGGATAAGGACAAAAACCGAAGAGGAGCTTGATGAAGACCAATTCGGGTTTAGACAGGGAGTTGGTACAAGAGAAGCAATTTTAGCTCTAAGGGTACTCACCGAAAGAAGGTTAAATGTAAATAGAAATACATTTATAACTTTTATAGATCTAGAAAAAGCCTTTGACACAGTTAACTGGGCTTTATTGATGAACTCTATGAAAAGAACTCGAATAGATTGGAGGGACAGAAGAGTAATAATGTTACTATACAAGAAACAAGAGACCTTACTAGAGGTAGGAGAACATAGTGCAACAGCAAAAATTAGAAGAGGGGTAAGACAAGGTTGTTCCTTATCACCTTATCTGTTCAATTTATTTGTAGAAGAAATCATAGACAAGTATAAGAGAAACTCTAAAGGAATAAGCATAAATGGAGAAAAGATACATTGTATACGATTTGCAGATGATATTGCTTTAGTGTCTGAATCGGAAAAAGACATGCAAAAATCTCTAACCACCCTCACTAAAATATTGCAGGAGTATCAAATGAAAATAAATGCAAATAAAACAAAGTCAATGGTGGTGACTAAAGCAAAAGAAATTCCTTTAGTGAGGTTGGAAATAGATAATAACTTAATTGAGCAGGTTCAACAATTTAAGTATCTAGGAAGTACGATTACTAGCGATGGTAGATGCTCAATAGAAATTAGACAAAGAATAGCTATGGCAAAGAGAGCATTTATGCAAAAACGGCAGCTACTTACAAACAAAAAACTCAATATAAAAATGAGAAAAAATTTTGTCAAATGCTATGTATGGAGCGTACTACTATATGGCTGTGAAACATGGACCATCAATGGACAAGACAAGAAGAAGTTGGAAGCTATGGAAATGTGGACATGGAGAAGGTTGCTGAAAGTCAGCTGGACAGAAATGAAAAGTAACGTAGATGTATTAAACCAAGTAGGGGAAAAAAGAATTCTGTTAAACGTCATAAAAGAAAGAAGTGGAAAAATGTTCGGTCACCTATTAAGGCACAATTCGTTTATAACAAATATATTTGAAGGGCGAATAAATGGACACAAAGGTAGAGGTAGACCGAGGAAAGCATATATAGAAGAAATGATAAGACAAGCTGACTGTAGTCGATACATAGACATGAAAAGACTGGCTTTTAACAGAAAAGAATGGAGATCCAGATTTGCAACGACAAGGCAAGGCCTTTAGTAGAGAAGAAGAAGAAGAAGTTCATCCCTTAAGACATTCCTAAAAACATACATACTTAACTAGCTTTTAAATAAAAATTATCTAATTAAGAAAAATGACTGATCAATGACAACTTTTACACAATTTAAAGTAATAATTGGCCATGAAGAGTGAGAGAGGTAGAGGTGCTGCTATTTTTATCACTTTTCTCAGCCTCACTACTCCTCTTATCAAAATATAAAAATGTAAATGATTTCTTAAATACTGATCCAGAAGTTGTTGTCAACTAGTCTTTACTTAATTTGATAATTTTCAATTTTATAAGCTAATTAAATATATATGTAACCTTTAAACAAATAAAATTGACATCCTTATAAGACATATTACATGAATATAAAAATATTTTATAACAGATTTTTTCTCTTAGAATATTTAGTAGATTTTATTTTAGATTGAATAGTTGTAGTCCTTATATGTATTGATATCATATTAAATTTAATTTTCAAATAAATCTTGTGCATTTATCTAACAAAGTAATTTACAATTATCCAAGTTCACGCAATGTAATTAAAAATTAATGCAACAACAATAAATTCACCAAAAATTTATTTCAAGAGAATTTAAGTGACTAGTGTTAAAAGAATTACTCTGCTTATAATGTATGTATATTTGTATCAGGTGGTTGCTATTATATGAGTAACTGTTACTCTAAAAAAAATAGACTGGTTAATATTTGAATAGTTGTAAAAACATAAATAAATGGAATTAATAAAAGAAATTTTATAAAATATTTCAAATAATTATTTAATAAACATAGATATAGTATGAAAAATATGTTGGCAAGGTAAAATTCCCTTGCTAGAATTACTTGTATATCATACTTTTTTTGGGAGAAGATAATTTTTTATTTGGGATTTAGTCTTTCATCTTACAGACAAACTATTTACATGGTAATCAAATGTCATTGATCTATTAATTAAATTCTGGACTCTCAAAAAAAATTATAAAATTGAAACTGTAAGTTTTTGTTGTGATAAAAATAAAACTATCAATTCAGGTGATTATTATGTGTAGGCATAATAATCAACAATATGCAATAATATTTAAATTAATTTTTTAAATTATTCAAATAATATTATTTAAAAATTTTACTTCCATAATTATTTAAATGAATCTCCATTCAAAATTTCTGAAGTATATAAAATAGTAAAAATTTTTTACCAATATCATCAATGTTTCTTTCACAAATATATGGTAATCTATCAGTTTTGGTTCCGCAATCTATAGCCTCCCAATAATAATATTCTGAATCACATAACTTTGTACTATTGGGATTGGACGGACAAGGGAATGATTTATGTAAAACAATACACAAAGCTCGATTTGATTTAATATTAGGTGAACTAGTTTTTTTAAATTCCCATCCTGAAAAAAAATTATAAAAATAGGTAGTAAGTAAATATTACGGATTGTAGACATATAATTTACCAGGCCACCAATTGCGATGAACAAATGGATTTTCTGTTCCTTCCCATATCCATATTGGATTTCCTAAAACTGAAACCCCTACACCTGATGTAAGTATAGGTCCATCAATTTGCTGTCTATAAAGCCATTCAGAAACAAAATCATTTTCTTTCTGGAAAAATATTGATCAAATAATATAAAAATATTCTTTAATTATATAATTCTAGCACCTCACTATAAACAAAAAAATTATTTAAATTATAGTAAATATGATTATTTTTAAAGTATTTTATTTATCAGTGTGTGCGATGTATCCTACAGATAGATAGATAGATAGATAGATCCTACAGAATCCTCGCAATGTTAATTACAATAAAGAAATTCTTTAACTGTATGATCCCTTAACAACCAGTTTACAGTCATTTTTTAATATTATAATTGTGGCAAATGTTCTTAAATAATTCGTAAAAATGTTTAAGGGCAATGATTAGAAAACTTGATGATAAGTAGAAAAAATGTTTAATATAACATTGATTTATAAAATTTAATTTAGCCTTCCAAATAATTTTACAAATTTTAGCCATCTAATTAAAGGACTTTTAAACTTTAATGGAGCCAAATTATAACTGCAAACTAGCTAAAGATGGATCATACAGTTTTTTGAAGTTCTTCTTCTGAAGAAATTGAAATTGAAAATATTTTGTTTCTGTAAGATCAATTGTACCTTTGATTTTGTTCATGAAAGCTTGTTCTAAAATTTAAGTACACGCTCATGTATTCTCTCATACCACCCCCTTTTATTACTGAAATGTCCATTCATATCTCCATCTATCACTACATTCTTGTTACCTGATATTTCTTGAATCACTTCATCCATCTCTTACCAAAACACTTATTACTGAAATCTAATTTGTTCAGTCAAAGTTCCAATATTCCAAATATCTATTCTCACTTTATACCTATTTGTAATACCTAGACACAAGTTTAACCTTAAATCTAATGGAGATGCTCCTATACCAATTACACTACAAGTGTTGTGTAGACCTGTAACAAAACTGGAAAAACAGCTACATCACAAGCTGTCTGGCTGGTATCACACATTTTTATTGTTATGCCTCCTCCACCTCTCTAGTTATGTTATTTCCTCTCATCTTTCTCCTTGTTACATTCAAGATGGGATAATTCTCTTATGTTTTCTGTAGGACTCCTAATACTTTTTGATAAAATTTTACACTGGGTATTAACCTGATGCAACCTCATTATTCACATTTTAAGATTAAAAGATTGTATGTGTCAGTATTCTGATCTCCTTCTACAGGGAGTATAAGCTAAGTACACTGATACATAAATTACTGTATGGCCCACAACTTTAATAAATATGTTGTGATTATGTTAATTTAAATGACACTGTGCACAATTGAAAACTATATTATAGCAATAAAAAAAGAAATAATTATATATTTTTAATAAATAAATTATTGACTAAAGTAAATAGAAACAATCAATATTTTTAAAATGATAATTTAAGTATTTAGTAGTGGCTCTGAAAAATGATTTAATTTTTTCAAAATAAAATTTACAATGTATACCTGCGAATTGATATCAATTAATGACCCTCCTCTTTTTTGACAATGTTCTAATGCTTCAACCTTGCTAAAACCTATATCTTGAATACTTTTATTTTGTTTATCTACAGTAGGAATATATAATTTATAACATTTGTCTTCATATGATACCTCCTCAGGTTGACAACGAGATCCAGAATTGGTACGACATTTTATCCAAACTGCATCCCTTTCTACATTGCATGATTTATCTGGAAATTTATTTATTTATGTCATAAGGAATAAACCGAAAATAAATAATAATAATAATAATAATAATGTAATAGAATTTAAATTACACGAAGTAGTAAACAATTAAAGTAGTAATTATAACAAAATAAAATACTCAATTAAATTATATGAATAAATATTAGCTAAAGAAAAATAATAATATTTAGATTATAGACTTATAAACTATTGGTAAACTACTAGGGCACAATCCTACTCTATTGTTTTCCAACCATTTCCATTCCCTAGTTTTTTATTCTAAATAAAGTCTAATAATATATAGACCTATGGTTTAGATGATAAATCTATTTAGTTTTATATATCATACTAAATTTAAATTTGTTGAAACATTTTTAAGATAAAATCATCAATGAATGAACAAAAATAGTAAATATACATAGTTTAAAATTAAAATAGGCACACTTATATAAAAAATTCAGTTAATAATAAATATGATTTACAATAAAATATCCAAATTTGTTTAATCATAATGTTAGGTTGGGTTAGATTTTTTAATTTAAAAATAAGTTATAATTTTTTTTGTAGTTAAATTTTAAATATTTTTATATTTAATTAAATTTAAATATGATCACAAATAATTTTAGATTTTTGTTATCAAAATAATTTTTTATATATTAATTAAAAAGAAGAAATACCCATATTTGTTTATTTACTACTTGTTCTTTACTTCATGAATTGGATTTGTTTTAAATATACAATTACCATTTTGTAATTGACAATTATGAAAAACACTTTCTTGGCCATTACAGGACACCTTTGTAACACCTATATTTCGTAATAATTTAGTAGGATTATCAGTAGTTACAGTTAAACCTTGCCATGTTTGTTCAGCTCCTCTACAAAAACATTAAATAGATATTATTTTGAGAAACTATTAAAATTAATGAATGAAATTTTGCAATTAAAGGTACTAATAACCAAACAAGGTCAATTTAGAAAACTTTTTAGGAGACACTAAAAACATTTTTGTTTTACATTAAAATGTAAAAAACAAAACCTCTCTTAATTTCACAACAATTTATTGGACATATTTTTATAACTATGCATAAAATAATTTTGATTTCATTAAAATGATTTTTCAAACATAGTGGACGTATTTGTTTATTGCATTAATGCCTATAATTTATTAAAGTTAAAAATACCTCTTAAATCCAAGTTGCCTACAAACAATATCAGCTTTATCAATAGTCCACAAATTTGGCTCATCACAAACTACACCCCATTGGAAAGGTTTTTCCTGGACTTGTAAAAATCCTTCAGAATGTTTTGGACCACCTCGTAATCTTATTGATTGAGTACTATTTGGTTTCAAATCTATTCTAACAGAAATATTATTTTCTACTTTTTTTATTACATCTTTAAAGGGTGTATGAATAATAGAAGTATTTGGTAAATGATTATCTGATAAATCAATTGATGTAGGATTTCGTAAAACTTTAAGTTGACGATTTTCTATTGGTAATGTTTCTAAAACTGCTCGATTATCAGGCAATTCTGTTTGTGAAACTACATCACTATTACTAATGTCTTCACTAAAATTTGCTCTGACATCAAGATCTAGATCAGGATTATATATTTCAGTTGTTGCAGCAATCTCAATTACTCTGTTACATTGAACATTATAAGGATGATCACATACAGATATTGTAGGATTAAATAAGGTTCCTGGACCACAATCCATTATAAATGTTCTTCCATTTGCACAGCTTAGAAATTTAGAACAGTCATAAGGATGTGGTAGAATGCCATTATAATTATTAGGGCATTTAATATCAGAGACTTTATTTTGTAACGGATATGTTGATATTTCTGGCCTGGAAGTATATGCATTGTCGTACACATAAGGTTGGTCAACATTCTGATTGCTATATTTTCTTCCATTAGCAGATCGATCGTTATAAGTATCTTTTAAAGAAGTAAAATGAGGTGATAAAAATTGTTCTGATTCTGTGATATTAGGTATTAAAATTTGAAACTGATTATTTGATCTATCATCAACTGGCTTACTATTAGTTTGACTATTGTAAGTAATTGGGTATCCTGCTAACTGTTCATTATTTTGAAACACATTTGAGTTTATTGGTTTGTTATAAAGGATTGAATGTGGGTATTGAGATGAAGTAGGTTGTTTATAATCAGTATCAGGTTTATTATTTGAGTTCAATTCTATATTATGAGATATCAGAGGTGGATTTTGTGATTGTTCCAATGCAAAAAGTGGTGTATTTTCTGAATTTGGATATCCTGTATTAATAACCGGAACATTTTCTATAGGAGTTTGACGATTATAATTTGTGTAACTATGTGATCCATCAAAATTTGAAGGATATCTACTATTACTATTTATTTGTTGACTATTTGTATTCAAATTATAATCAGATACAGGTTCTGAAATTTGACCTTCAAAAACTTGATTACCTAATGGTACATTTGTTTGACTATAAGAATTTATATTTTGATTAGACCCATGTTTTCCCTTCAGTTGGTTACGCATCCAAGATGTTGGACTAACTAGTGTAGGATTATTATTTTCTTTATTTAATGTATTATACTTATTTTGAGAGAGATTTGAGAATTCTTTTGAAAAACGAACTTTATTCTGTGGCTGATTAATTCTTGTATGTTTATCAAAATTACTATTATACTGATTAGAACTACTAGGATAATTAGATGGAATGTTTGGATTATAATAGTTGGAATTTTCAATCGGATTATTATTGAATTGCTGAGTAGTAACTGGTTTATCTGAAAATTTATTTTGTTCTTTAGTTACACTTTGAATATTTTGATTAGAACTTAAGTCTGGATTCTTAAATTGACGTGTAGACTCTTGATTCCTAATAGGTCCATTAACTATAAAATCAGAGCCATACAAAGGTTTACTTTTTTCTGGTTGAACTCCATAATCATTCAGTATATTTGAACTGTCATGGTATGTATTTTCAACAATACTTGAACCATCTACTTGATTTCGATTATTTTTTAGTTGATCATGGTTACCAACATAATATTCTTGATTTGGTAATTGTTCATTTGTTTGGAAGTTTTGATTAGGCTGAGTGATTGAATTAGGTAGGTTTCCATTAAAACATTGAACTTTTGATGGAAAATCACATTCTAATGATTTAGAATTAAATAATGTACCAGGAGCACATGATTGAACAAAACCACGACCTTTAAAACAATTGAGATATTTTCGACAATCTAATATTATGGGATAAAGACCAGTTGTTTTTGGTGGACAGTTTTCACCATCCCATGAAGGTTCTCCTAAATTCTAAAATTAAAAATTTAATATTTAGTGAAAATATTATTCTTAATAAGCAGCAGTTCTAAGGCTTGAAAATGCAAAGACAAAGTTTATTTTTTTAAGAACAAATATAAATTTAGCCTGATGTACAGAGTTGTTACAAGAAGAGGTGTGGGATACCGGATTTATCAAGCAATTGTTTTGTTTGGGATTGGCTTACCTAAAAACTTAAAAAACGTCACACAATTAAAAAAAAATTATCTAGTTGGCAAAAATCATTGTTTTACTCTCTCCCTCCGTATTATTCAGAAATGTTGATGTATATATTAAAAGCATGGTTGTTAGTTAACCATTATTTTATGCCACTGTGAAAATTATCATATGATCACCTAGATCATTATTAATCCAAGAAAGACCAAAGAAAGAGAAAATATAAAAAATAATAGATTACAATAGACAACTTTTAAATTAAAGAATTACAATACCCAAGGGGAGCTAATTTTGGTAAAAATTAAAAGTAATAAATTAGAATTCCACGCTTTATTAAAATTAGTAGAGGTGAGAATCAGAATGAACCAATTGAATTTTGATCAATGTTATTTTATTTTGCTATGAATAGAAAATGTATAAACATAAATAATTATTTATTAGTTTATATAAGTTTCACGTTTTATTTAAAGAAGTTAGCCATTTATTTGAGAAACAATGCAAGTCTAAAAATATTAAATTAATAGAATAGTGTAAAAAATCAAACAGTTATTAAACTTTGAGATGTTGTATTGAAACAAAGATGGCTCAAGAAAAGTATTCTATGAGAAACTTGAGAGAATGTGTTTTAAAGCTATGAACTTTACTTTATTTCTACAATATACGATTCTCATAATATAACGGTGCACAACTATCCACTGTGATTTTATACCTAGACTCATCATATAACAATGAATACATGTTAATTTTTATGCACAAATAGTCTTATAGAATTTTTTTTTTTAAATTTCAAACTTATTAAGTTTTTAAATTTTTTCAACATATTGTAACTTTAATCGTTATAATGAAATTACTAATTAGTGAAATCAACATTATAAAGAGTTATAAAAATAAATGAAAATGTAATTTTAGCTATTTACTAAAATACGAAAATGGCCTCACTACAGTCTTGTATAATTTATCTTTCAGCCTCATTGGAATTTTTTTATCTCATAAAACACCAGACGTTTCTCTCCACTTCAACCACCTGCACTAAATCATGTGTCTTATAACCTCGTCAATAACACAGCTCTTTTACACAATTGACACTAAATACTTAAAACTTTCCACCTCTTCAAACACGTCCTCGCCTATTACCATTGATCTTCTCATATCACCTCGTTTGGGTTTTCTCCTTTGTCAAAACTCGTACTCTATATACTCTGTCTTACTTCTACTTATTCTTAAACCCATTTCTTCAAAAGCTGATTTCCATACCTCTAGAATTTGATTAATTTCCTCCCTATTTTCTCCTATTAATACTATATTGTCAGCAAACAACATGCACTACGGCACTTCTCTTTGAATTACTCTAGTAATTTTATCCATCACTATAGAAAATAAGTAAGGGCTTAAAGCAGAACCTTGGTGTACTCCTACTCTTACCCGAAACCCTTCTGTTACTCCTCCTACGCTTTTTACACGGGTAAAAATGTGCCATCATATATATTTTCTATTTTATTAATGTATCTTTTCGGGACTCCTTTTCTCATTAATAGTCACTTTAAAACCTCTCTCGGTACTCTATCATACGCTTTCTCTAAATTTATAAATACCATACAAAGCTATTTCTTCTTTTCCCTTAATTTTTCTATTAGTTGCCTCACACAAAATACTGGCTCTATTGTTGACTTACCAGGCATAAATCCAAACTACTTTTTAGATACCAATGTCTCATTTCTTATTCTCTTATCTATTACCATTTTCCCATTTTTCATACTATGACTCATAAGTTTTATGCCTCTATAATTTCCACACTACTGTATGTCCCTCATTTCACAAGATATCCTCTAATGTCTCTTTTGGATACTCCTCATTCAATAATTTTTTAAAATATTCTTTCCACCTTTCTTTTACATCATCATCACTCGATAGTACCCTATTACCAACACTTTTTATTCACCTTACATGATGATAATCTTTAGACTTAATTCTCTTACTTTTGCAAGTATATAGATTTCTTTCTCGCCTTCCTTTGTTCCTAGCCTATCATACCTCTTTAACTTCGCCTTACTTCTGCAGAATTATCTTTTTTGCACAAGCGTTTATACTCCATTCAATCTTCTCTTCTTTTGCTCTTCTGTCATACATTGAATTGCTTTTTCTTACTTTCTAAATATTTTTGAATATCCTCATCACACCACCAGGTTTCCTTGTTTCCTGGCATTCTACTCTACTCTCACAAACAATCTTTGTAAAGTATTCTTTACACAACTAGCAAATCTATTCAATACATAATTTTTTCTCCCTCGATATTCCACACCGTCTTTCTTTTACTGTCTTTACAAACTCTTATTCATTTTCTCCTTATATTTTTTTATTCATTTTTTCTAATATTACAAGTTATAATTATAAAACACAAATTTTCAATTAGATTAATCAAAGGCTAGAGATGTGGAGATCAGCTCTCGAAGAAAAGGGTTTAAGATTAAGTAGAAGTAAGACAGAGTATATAGAGTACGAGTTTGGCAAAGGAGAACACGAGGTACGTGAAATGAGAAGATCAGTGACAATAGGGTAGGATGTGATTGGAGAGATAGAAAGTTTTAAGTATTCAGTATCTGTTGTGTAGAAGAGCTGTGTTATTGACGAGGTTATAAGACTCAGGATTTAGTGCAGGTAGTTGAAGTCGAGAGAAACATTTGGTGTCTTATACGATAAAAGAATTCTAATGAGGTTGAGAGGTAAATTCTACAAGACTGTAGTGAGGCTAGCTATGATGTATGGTTCAAAGTGTTGGGCGGTTGGTAAGAAAGTAGAGCAGAAATGAGAATGATTAGATGGATGAGTGGAGTGACTAGAGAAGATAGGATAAGGAACGAGCATATAAGAGGGAGTATAGTTGTAGTGTCAATCGTAGATAAGATGAGAGAAAATAGACTTAGATGGTTTGGTCATGTTATGAGGAGAGAAGAATTGGAAGCTGTAAGAAGAGTTATAGAAATGAATGTTGAAAGAAGAAGAGGTAGAGGAAGACCAAAAAATAGATGGAGGGATGCTATTGAATGTGATTTGAGGACAGCTGTGTGAGTGTAGATGATGTGGGAGTGTCAAGTGGAAGTTTAGGATAAGGGTGGCGGACCTCAAGTAGTTGGGATTAAGGCGAGGAAGAAGAAGAAGAAGAAGAAGAAGAAGAAGAAGAAGAAGAAGAAGTAATATTAGATTAGTCTTATATTAGTCACAAATATTGATTTATCTAATATCAGAAAAATTCATATCGTCTTGCCCCAAAAACAACTCCAAAAAATTAGACAATGCCTATTAATAAATATAATATTCTGGAATCATGAACACATAAAAAATATATTTTTTTAATTATTATCATTATTTAGCCAATTCTCAATTATTTTTACATAAAATATGAGTAGAAAGTAGTCACCTGATTACTATTTAATGTTTGAGTTTTTTGTTGATGGATTGAAGAAGCAATAGGTGTTTGGTCAAATTTACTGCGTACATTGTTATTAATGTTTGATCCATCATTGTAATTTTCTGTAAATGCAGCCCAATTTAAGTTTTCTTCTGTTAAAGCTGGTTTTACAATACTACTAGTATCTTTGGTGATCTACAACACATATACAATAAAATACATGTTTGTCTGGAATATTTAAAATCTAGAAAATACTTACACATATTACATCATATTGTAATAATAAAAAGACTAATAACACATATAAACTCTTCATGTTGAAAAAATAATTTAACTAAACTAAAGAAATAATTTTAATCTTAGCATATTTTAAAGATAATTTACTTATCTAAGGTCAAAATACAAAGATTAAATTAAATCATTTGAATAACAAACTTTTCTACAAATTTAATTTATTGTTTTTTTTTGTAAAATGAGTAATAGCTTTATTACCCAAGGTTTTTAATTAACATACAAGGTGTTTATTTTATATTAGGATATTAGTTTTATAATTATCAATTTATTTTCTAGGTAAGATTGATTTATTTGATTTTACCAATATATATTCATGCTATCTTATTAAATTGAAAAGTAAAATATCATATTATCATTTAAAATAAAAAAAGGACACCTAAATTATACCCTAATATTATAATAACAGAAAATAAAAATTTAGCCATGACTTGTTGTATTATACTATATAATAGAATAAAATATTTTATGTAAAAGGTGTATATCATTGATAACTCACTCTTAATTACTAAACATATTATATTTATTTATTAAAAAAATACAAACTAAAGTTACAAGAAAACAGTTTAAATATCAATGGAATTACAACTACAGTTACGCAACTTTTAATGTTTGTTTAGTTTTATCTATTATGTATTGATATGGTTTTTCATGGTTGTAAGGTGTTCTTGGAATTCCAAACCATTTACGCAGTCTTGGGGATAACAAAATAAGATTTTGCGATAATCCATAAATACTAGATGTTGTCCAATATAATGTAACACCCTAAATTTAACATATTTTACACTATAAATTGAAAGTCTTGTTGCAATAATGAGAGAAGTCCACTTTCAAAAAGTTTTCAGGAAACACAAATAAAAAATTTGTTTTAAATTAAAATGTATAAAAAAGGGACTTACTTTGCTATAACTTAAAGGAAAATTATTAAATTTATCTATTGTTATATTTTATACAAAGTATTCTCTAATGTAACAAGTAATATTTATGAAAAAGTAAATTTTCAAAAAAAGTAGACTTATCTAGTTATTGTTATTGTTGCAATATTTTTAATTATACTTATTATTTTATTTATAGTCAAGATCTTACCGATGGTAAGAAATAAGAAAGAGGCAACATAAAAATAGTGAGACCACGAAATATGTTAGTAGTTAATGCTTGTTTCCGTGTAAGTTCTTTATTACGTGCATAAGTTTGAACCTATATATCAATTAAAAAATGTATAGAATAACCAAATAAAAAAAACAATAATACAGTGGTATTTAAAATTCATAACTATATACACATTTTTTATTTAACAACAAATACTAGTTTCAAACAAATTACCTGAATAATCAAAAGATTAGAAATGCACATAAGTAAAGGCAAACACATTAATGAATCAATTTCAGTTAAGTTTGTAAACCATAGAATACCACCATTAGTTAGTTCAGTAAACCTAATGACAGCTTTGAAATTCAATTAATAAAATCAATTTTAATAATATTTTCAAATGTAAATTTACCTTCATTACTAGGAGGTAGCATTAATGTAAGATTTCGAATAGCTATTGATAAACAAATCCACATTGGAAGTTGTATCCAAACTACAATACTTGATTTTGCTGGATGACAATTATCTCGTATAATTAACTCATTCCAATATTTTTTTATCTGAAAGTTAAAAATTGAATTATTTAATTGTTTTCTGAAACATTTTTCTAAATAGTTATATAATTAATTTAAAGAGTAAAATTAAAATTTATTTAAATTTTTGAAGTTAAAATATATTTTTTATATATATATATATATATATATATGTTTTTATAATTCATTGAAGGCTATATATGTAACATTTCTGAGAAGAAGGTTTCTTAACCATGGATAATCCAGAATGGCTGGTTAGTCTGCCGCTGGAATTAGCAATGACTAATCCAACTATAATCTCATTCAGCAAATAGTAGCCTGTAATCTAGTCTCAAACCCTAGATGCGTACCAAGTATTACTGTATTACTGACTCGACCTTACTATTTCTTGGTGTGGCCAAGTCGGTAAATTACAAAAATTATGAATATTTGAAATATTGAAAGTAATGAATACTACAAGGTAATGAAATTTTTTTTATACTAAATAATGAAAAATTACATTTTTCAATTAGGAAAGATTAAAAATTAGACTTACAGCTTTTTTATAAACTCTTTGTGCTTTATTAGGTGGCCACTTTTGTAATTTTACATTTTTTGCCACTTCTTTTTGTATTTCTTTCACAGTAGGTTGAAATTCTATCGAGAGATTTTCAATTTTGGCATTATTACGATGCTGCATAAAAAATAATATAGTTATGCAATATTTTACACATTTATATAATTTTATTAATAATTCTTATATATAATACTAGGTATCACCATGCATAAAATTTTCTTATTTAGTAAAATAATATAAATCCAATTTACACCCAATTTATGATTTTTTTTTTTTTAATCCCTTAAAAATTTTCAATCTGTGATCATGAATAAACAAAGAAATAACTATAGAAATAAAAATTAGTTTAATTAGTACTTCACTTCAAATACATGTTTGTATGTATAGGTATATATAATACAATAAAATGTTTAGAATTTTCAAGTAAAATTTGTATATTTTCACTTATTTATAATCAGAGATAATGAAAATTTGTCATCTTATTTAATATGAGTAATTTTATAATATAAAAAAAGAAATGAGTTAAAAACAGATTTAGATATTCTGGTAACCAAAAAAAAATTTAATAGTGCATTTAATAAATTCTATTTATAAAACTACAAAGAAGTATACAAATAACTATATCAACTATTATCTTTTAACTTACTTGATAAATAGTCAGTGGCAATGTTAAGGCCAATCTTAGAGATACAGCACTAATTATTATTGAGGCCCACCAAGATGTACCAGTCATTTCATGAATAAAAACTACATATTTTTGAGCATATGCAACAGGTGTACTATCTGATATGGTCATAAACCAAGAAGGATAAGTCACTGAAGAAATATTTCTTTTATTTGAATTTATTGAATCACATAAAAACGGATTGATTGTTAAACATTTAGCTGAATAATAGCTTAGATAACGTGTACTATTTAACAGTTGAAAAGAATTCAGACGCATACATAACATTTTAAGAATATAAACTTTAAAAAAACATCATATAATAACTAATACATAGAATAGTAAATTTTAAATGCTGTATAAATATATTTATACATATATCATATATCAAAACCGTGATACCATAATCACAGATAAAACATACAAAAGAAACATAAAATGTAAAATATTTTTATTTTTTAATTTATAAAATTTATCTAATCTGTGCTATGATTTAATTGTATTATTCTATCTTTGAATAATTGTCCAAATGTGCATCGATTATATAAAAAAATAATTTTAAATCCCATTTAACACAGTAGATTTTTTAACCCTTTTAGGATAATCAGTGCTACTAGTGGTTTATTCATGATAAAATATTTTGTCATGAATATAGTGATTACATTAACTAAAAATTGAATTTATTTATTAAAATGTATTAAAATTAATTTAATATATTATACTAAATTAAAGAAATTTATCTGATATTTTTCTATAGTAATATTATTAACTCTTTAGTTTATAAATAGTATGAATCGATTTAAATATGCTAGTCTAAATGATGGAGAGACTATCATTTGCCGCCATTCTAATGTTACTCTTTATGATGGTGAACACAAAACATCTTTTCATCGTGGAGAAATTCTTCTAACGAGCACACATTTGTTTTGGATTGGTGGAAATACTTCCTTATCACTCCATTTAAGTTACATTATTTACATCGAAACTAGTGTTACAGAAACTCTGTTTAGTTCCAAAACTAAAACTGTTATTATACATTTACTGCCATTAGAAAAACACTATTCTCATTCAGAGATTCCTTTAAGTGAAAATAAAGAATATGTAAAACTTGATTTTAAAGAAAAAATTCCCCATAATTTTTTAGATTCATTTCAAAAAACTGTGACTGATAAAAAATGGACTGTTGCAAACGTATCAAAGCAAATTAGAACAGGAATTGGAGGTATTGAAAAAAATATTTATGAGAAACAAAAAGCATCAGATGTGAGTATAACAGAAGCGTTTAAAGATTTAAATAGACTTATGAATACTGCAAAAGAAATGGTAAACTTAAGTAAAAATATTTCAGAAAAAATTAAAGATAAACAAGGTGTAATAAGTGATGATGAAACAGTGCAATTTAAATCTTATCTCTTAGGTTTAGGTGTTGATGATCCAGTTACTAAATCTTCATTTACCGATTCCAACTCATATTTTAATACATTATCTAAAGAAATTATCAAAATAATTCATTTGTCATTAGAAGAAAGTGGTGGTATAATGACTCTTCCTGAAGTTTATTGTCGAGTTAATAGAGCTAGAGGATTAGATCTTCTATCGCCTGAAGATTTAATGGCTGCATGTTCTGTGATGAATTCTTCCAAAGAAGAATTACCTGTGAAATTAAAACATTTCGACAGTGGAGTTTTAGCTTTACAATTAGTAAATTGTGATGAAAACAAAGTATTAGAAAACACTCTAGAAGCAATAAGGAAAAATGGTTCATTAAGTGCTCAAGAATTATCTACTTCTATTGGTGTACCAGTTATTCTTGCAAAAGAATATTTATTAGACTGTGAAAAGAATGGAAAATCATGCAGAGATGAAAGCATTGAAGGTTTAAGGTTTTACATAAATACATTTTTTGAGAATAATTTTATATAATTTTTTAATTAAAATTTATTATATTATTCCTATTAAAAGCTTACTCATAAAAAAAAATTCTATGTTTATTTATATATTAGCAAAAAATATAATTATTTTATTAAACAATTCTATTTATAAATAGTAAATTATTTAAATTGTGAAATTTTATTTTATTGTTTCTATTGACAAAGAATTATGTAAAATTAAAAAGAATTTGTATTGATTACATTTCGGAATAGAATGTATCTACAAAAGAAAAAAATTGGTGATTTAAAAAAAGAAATATCAAGCAGATTAGTCGGTTGAAAAGCCAAACTAAAAATTAAAATAAACAACAGTCAATCATTACTATGCTTATTAACTATACAATTTGGTAGGTTTTTTGGGCACTCATATATATACCATAGAATCAAAAACTACAAATATTTCCTGGGACTTTTTATACCTATATTTTGAGTTTTAAAATGATATTTGAACTACAGATATATAAAGAAATATTATTTATTATGTATTTTTTATTTAAATATTGAGATGTTACTCAAGAATTGAACAAAAATTTTGTTATCATTCTAACTCTAGTTTCTCAGATAGCCATATTATAATGAAATGGGTGTAAAAAAAACATAATGAATAAAAAAGTTGAGGAAAAGACCAATTAACTACCATATTTATAAAACTTGGATAATTATACTATTAAACGATATTATATCAGTTTTTTTTTATGAAAACATTTTTTTGTTTTTGAATTTAGGAGATTTTACTTTTTAAATAATTACGCGATAATTAATAATTGTAATTGGAAAATTATATGGCATTAAAGTATAATTTCTCCCTTGAAAATAGAAAACCATTTCTCATGCATACTTTGTCAATGATAAAATCTTGAGTACCACTCTAGTTCTTATTATTAATTTATTGTTTGAAATCATTATCATAAAACATTTTGATGTAATTGTGCTTAAGGTCAGAATTCATAAGCTGTTCTAGCAACACTGATTTGTTATCGGTTACTACAAATCATAGTTTAGTTAAGTCAGGAAAATTATAAATGTAAGTTTTGTGGTCTTACTAAAGATTTACAATTAAAGTGTTGTAATGTGTTGTTAATGTATTAATCAAATTTATAACAAGTGTACTAAAAACTAAAATCACAAGTATGACATAAGCCATATAAATTCTTTTAAACCTATTTATTATATATTTAGTTTATTTTTAACTCTTATGTAATCTTAAATATTGCTTCAATTCCATTCGAGGTATTATATTTCAAGTTGTACAATATAAAATAAGGAATTCGTGTTACATATCATTGTATCAATAAAATTTAATAAGTGTCGTCGCAGAGTTAGATGTTTTCTCGTATAATATATAAATGTATGCAGAGAAATTTTTTAAAACATTTTTTTTAAATAGTGTCAAGACAATGGTACAAACATTCTAAAAATACAGTTTGTGATATAGCTCTTATTTATCTAAACTGGAGTGAATAAAATGAATGAAAAAGTAAATAATACATACATCAAAATTGTATTTTTTTAATTAGAAAGTTTCTTTATGCTTATTTTATGTTCTAAGTATGAAAATGAAGTACTTTATTCGCCGAGCAAATGGTGTAAACGTATTGAACATAATTCAGTTGTTAAACATCACATAAACACAGTTCGGAAAAGTATGTATTACACAACAATTATTGTGATAATTGAGCAGAATGTTTAGGAGGTATAAATTTAATTTAATTCCAATAAAAAAGTATTTTTGAATAAAAATACACTTAAAGTTCATACAGTTTTAGTTAATGGTTGTGGAATAATTTGGGGAATCTAAGCGCACTCCAGTTCTCTCAAATTGCGTCTTTAATTTTTGGTTTTACGTATACTTATTTTTTCAATTACAGGGACTTAATTCAAATTATCATATTCTAAAGGAAAATTGTAACTTACATTTCACTAAACATTTTGTTTTAAGTAACATAACTCTTAAATAAATGCGCTTAAACTAACAAAACGGTAGCACAGTTGGGTTGCGGCCCAGTGTAAACGTGGCATAGTTATAGAGTGCACAAGTATAGACGATATATGACAATGATTAAATTCACTAGATATCATAAGAAACGCTTCGTCTAAAATCTGTAGATAATGTTTAATTTTAAAAAATTGATTGATTATTCCTAAAGCAAATCGAACTCCTAGTTTTTGTTCAACTTCGACTGCCATTTGCACATAAGATAGGTCGTCATGACAAATTTCTTTTTTTATTTATAGTACGTAATAAGCTTTAATTTAACACATGTTTAAAGAACACAGTATTCCCTGAACATTTTCAAAAGTTGAAAAAGTACACTTTTGTAAAAAATTTGCTATTTTAAGTCCCTCCCGTGGGCAGATAAAGGGTAAGATTATCAAAAAATTTATATCACATGCATGGAAAATACTTAAGGTTTCTATATAAAAAAAAATATTTTGATTCGTTTATTTTTCAAATAAATGTGGAAGTTTTAAGAACCAAAATAACATTAATTTTTTACACGAAAAATACATTTTTTGTTCAAATTCAACGGTCTTTTACACATAGAAGATAGGTTGTCCGGGCAAATTTTTTTTTTTAATTTATAGTTCATTTACATAGCTTTAATTTAACATATTTATAAAGAATGCACAAATTCCCGAAACATTTTCAAAAGTTAAGTTGAAAAAATTCTTCTTTTTATACGTATTTTTAAAGTTTTGAACGCCCCATGTATAAGGGGAAATCGCTCAATTTAATAAAAAGTATGGCGGATGAAAATTGTATATTTATTGTATTTAGAAACAAAAATTTGTATTGATCTATACATTTTTCATAAAGTTATAACAATTTAAAGTTAAAAATTTTAAATCGAAAATTTTAACACAAAAATACACTATATTGTATATAATGTAACTATTTTAATATTAGCTACTCAATAATTCATAAAATAATATTTATACTAAGAAAATTCATTTTGGTATTTTAGTTTAGATACAAAGTTGAAAAGGTTGGGTTGGGTTGGGTTTACCATGATATGTTTATTTTTTTTTTTGTCTGTCAATAATTTTTCTCAGCTCAAACTGGATCGATTCTTAAAATGAGTAAAGTTCGGCATTTTATCTTCAATGCGAAGCTGAGAAGGTATTGGTTTTACTATGATGTGTTTTTTTTTTTTGTCTGTTACCACTTTTTGTCAGCTCTCACCGAACCGATTTCTTTCAACGATACGTCAGAAGATCACAAATTGTATCTAGTCGAAGACATTACCCTCAAAAATTGAAAAAAATTTCCTCGTTCCCTGTAAATGAGGGAAAACTCCAAAAAAAATTACAAATTTAAAAATCGCTAATTTTCGAAATTTTTTTTCTTAAAACTGTCATAACTTTTTCAAAAATGACCAAATCAATATAATTTTTTTTTATAGATGCTTGATGTCTTTACCCATCATTTGGTATATTTTTTTTATAAATTTAACCCTTTACCTGGCCACAGGGGGGATTTAAAATGACAACTTTTTCACAAAAAATTAACTTTTTCAACTTAACTTTTGAAAGTGTTCTGAAAGTCTGACACTTTAAGATATATTTTAAATTAAAGCTAATGTAATATACTTTATTATAAAAAAAAATGATGGCTTTATTTTGTGAAAATATATAAAAAATGAGTGGTTATGAAAAAAATCTAATTGCAGAAAAAAAAGTAAATACTTTACAATTCTTTTATAACTTTTTCGTAATAATTACAATACTACATTAATAAATATGAATTTCTTACTAAATGTACTTACTATAATTATTATTTTTTCATATATTAGACTTATAAATCATAGAACTGCTAATTAGGAATAAGGAAGCAAATAGGAGTTCGCATTCAATAGCATCCCTCCATCTATTTTTTGGTCTTCCTCTACCTCTTCTTCTTTCAACATTCATTTCTATAACTGTTCTTAGAGCTTCCGAATCTTCTCTCCTCATAACATGACCAAATCATCTAAGTCTGTATTCTCTCATCTTATATACGATTGACGCTACACCTATACACCCTTTTATATGCTCGTTCCTTATACTATCTTTTCTAGTCACTCCACTCATTCATCTAAGCATTCTCATCTCTGCTACACTCATTCTCTGCTCTACTTTCTGATCAACCGCCCTACACTGAAGCATATATCATAGCTGGCCTTGTTACAGTTTTGTAGAATTTATCTTTCAGCCTCATTAGAATTTTTTTATCGCATAACACATTAGACGCTTTGTCCATTTTAATCATCCGCACTTAATCCTATGTCTTATATCCTCTTCAATACCTTCGTATAGTAACGTCACCTATACTCCCTCTTATATGTTGGTTTTTTATCTTATATTCTCTAGTAACTCCACACATCCATCTAAGTATTCTCATCTCTGCTACAGTCATTCTCTGCTCTATTTTCTTGTCAATTGCCCAACACACTGAACATACATCATAGGTGGTCTCACTACAGTCTTATAGAATTTACCTTCCAGCCTCATTGGAATTCTTTTGTCGCATAATACATTAGACGCTAAACTCGTACTTTATATACTCTGTTTTACTTCTACTTATTCTTATACCAATTTCTTTAAGAGCTTCATCTTTAGCCTTTGATTAATTTCCTCCCTATTTTCTCCTATTAACACTATCGTCAGCAAACAACATGCACCACGGCAACTCTCCTTGAATTTCTCTAATAATTAAATAATCTGTCGTGTAGATAGTTATTAATTTTATGGAAAAAAAAAATTTCGGACTTTATTTTGTCTTCACGGTGAAAATGGCTACCGAATGCTATTTTTGTGTGAAAATTGTCGATTTTCAATTTTTAATTTTATAATGCTTTAACTTATTTAAAAGTGTATGGATCAGTACAATTTTTTTATGAGAAATAATATTTATATTCCTCTTTTATTCAACATACTTTATTTTAATCAGGATATAAATAAGAAAATAGGAGATCATGTAGCTTTTGGAATAATCCATCAACTTTTTAAAATTAAACACTATCTACAGATTCGCATCGAAGCGTTTCTTATGATAGTTATTTTAATCACTGTCGATATCATCTATACTTATCCCAAGTATGCCACGCTCATACTGTGATGTGACCCTACCGTATTACTGTATTTTTTAATTTAATATATATCTTAATTTATTAAGTTTTTTAGCTTCGATGCGAAGCTGAGAAGATATTAGTTTTACCATGATATTTGTTTTTTTTTTTTTTTTTTTTTTCTGTTGCCACTTTTTCTCAGCTCTCACTTGACCGATTTTGATGAACAATATGTCAAAAGATCACATATCGTATCTAGTAATAGACATTACCCTTTTTTTTTTCCACGACCAGCATTATTGTGGACCGCCCTGGAACTGCCGTGTGGCATTACTTCAGGGCGGCCCACGCCGTCTTAATAATTCACACCACCACGTTGCGAATCATCCCGAAATTAATCAAGAGCTGATTCGCAACATGGTGTGGCCCCCTCCCGTTAACCGGATCCCACAGTGGGAACCGTTAGGGAGGGTTGGCAAAATAACTCACAAACAAAAACACAAAAGCAAGAACAAGAACCTAAGGCACCGGCCTAAACCAGCGCCTCAGGTCCTCCTGTGCTGGGCGGCGTGGCTGCATCTGTTTCAGGCGTTCCGCTTCCTTCTTCTTTAATAAGACGGATTCAGCGAACGCCTGAACGAGTCTCCATGCTTCCCGGCTCCTCAACATCAGGTCCACCATGGACCCGACTTGGAACGTGGACCCTAGTCGAGACTACAAAGAGTCCCGCTCCTGGGCCCATGCCTCGCACTGGAAGAGGGTGTGCAGAGCGCTATCAGCCGCTCCCGGGCGATCGGAACAGTGGTCGCACGTCGGCGCGGCTGCTTTACGAATACGGTGCAAATACTCGTTAAAGCAGCCGTGGCCGGACATCACTTAGGAGAGACGATAAGTCATCTCACCGTGAGTCCGGTCCACCCACCTGTCCAGCCGATCGGGTCCTATGAAGGACCTGGTTCACCCACCTCTCGTCGTTTCCTCCGAGAGGCGAGTCCGCCACCAGAGCATGGTCATCCGCCTGACCGCCAGCCGGTCCTCGGGTTCGAGGGACCGGCCGCGTTCTCGGCGGAGTATAGACATTACCCTTAAAAATTGAAAAAATTTCCCTCGTTCCCCGTAAATGGAGGAACTGTCCAAAAAAAATTACTATTTTTAAAATTGGTATATTTAGTCATTTTTTTCACTTTTTTTTCTTAAAACTACCATAACTTATAAGTAACAAATAAACTTAATTTTTTTATATATTGAAACCTTCGATATTTTTCTTGTAGTTGATATCATTTTTTTGAAAATATAACACTTAACCTGCTTACAGTTGCTTACAGGAGGCGATTTAAAATAGCAACTTTTATTCGAAAATGAATTTTTTCAACATAACTTTTGAAATTGTTCCGAAAATACTGCGTCCTATAACATACATCAAATTAAAGTTTATGTCAGGTATTTTTAAAATGAAAAAAAAAATTGGTCTCGACGCCTTATCTTCTACGTGCAAACGGCTACCGTAGTTAAAAACATGCTATTTTTGTGTTAAAATTTTCGATTTTATATTTTCAAGTTTAAATTGCTATGACTTTTAGAAAAATGTATGTATCAACACAAATTTTTTTTTCAAAATATATATATACCTCTATCATTTAACATACTTCTAATTTAAATTGAACAATTTCCCTTTATACAGGGAGCGTTCAAAACTTGAAACATACGTATAAAAAGTAGAACTTTTTCAACTTAACTTTTGAAAATGTTCCAGAAATATTGACACTTTTATTTAATCTTAAATTAAAGTAAAGTATATATATATACTTTACTATGAAAAAAAAAAATTAGAAATATAGATTTTATTCTTGGTGAAAATGGCTTCCGTATTCTAAGTTATGGGAATAAATTCATTTCTTTTTATTATAATTGACTTTCAAAAAAAAAGTAGGTTAAAAATGATTACTTTTAACATATTAAAAATCAAAATCAATAATAATTTGAAAACAATTAATTATAAAAATTATATAATATATATTTAAAAAATTATTAAAAGAATTAATATTAAATAAATAAATTATTACTAATTTTTTAATAAATCTTAATATATTAGCTACTTTTTATGTGTTAGTGTTGTCAAAATTAAAGTTTTGTCTAGGTAAAACTAAAATACGAGGATGCACCTTGGTATTTCACTTGGATAACAGCTGTTTTTACTGCCTCTTGTTACCGCACCTCTAGTTTGATTTTATTTTTAACAGTTTGTTACATTACAGATTAACACATGCTTACTTTTTTAGTTTGTCAGAAAATTAAAACTTCTCAATTGAATAAAAGCACTAATATAAGATATGGACTGGGCGATCAACAACTTTTAGATATATACGAAAACAAGTCAATGAAGTCAAATTCATCTACTCCAAGTTTTGTTTATATTCATGGCGGATACTGGCAAGAACTTGAAAAAGACATTTCTGCTTATTGTGTGGAGCCATTAATAAATTCTGAGATTAGAGTTATTGTTCCTGGATATGATCTTGCGCCAAAAAGTACTAAACATAAATTTTGGTTGATTATAATATTATAATACTAATGTTGTTTATTAGTTTCTTTAGGCGAAATTATTGATGAAATACGCCAACTTTTATCATTCTTAGTCAACAACTTAATGTTTGAGTTAGTACTCTAATTTTTATTTTAGTAAATCAGGTTTAATTCGTAATAGGTTAATGACACAAGTTTTTGGATCCCAAACCAATTTTTGGAACTACTATGTTTGATTCATTATAAATAATCTATTAACATTTTAAATATATTTTTTATTTGCTTGAAGTACTTAATGATGTATCCATGTTTACAGTTGAGTTCTAACGTTTCGGACTCATTGCAGACTCTATCTTCAGAGTAATGGCTGCAACTATGCTGGTAACTCAACTGTAAACATGGATACATCTTGAAGCACTTTAAACAACAAGACAATCCATGAAAGCTTTAACACACTATTTTTTTTATTATTAAATTAACTCAAAAATGTGTTAAGGACTCTATAGATTGCTTTTCGGAACTTAATGAAATACTTTATGCCCATGTGAAACTTAAAAATTGCCAATAACTTGTATCATCACTCTATTTGATTTTCATGTACATAATAAAGGCAACGTCATGAAGCGTGGTATACAGACGCGTACGAATTCCAATTATAAAGCATTGAGACTTAAAAACATTTTTGTTTCATTACAATTTGTATTTATCTTTGAAAATACGTGTGTTTTTATAGGCTGATGTGAGCGTAGACGATGTGGGAGATCGTGTCCAGTGGAAGTTTAGGATAAGGGTGGCCGACCCCAAGTAGTTGGGATTAAGACAAAAAAAAAAAGAAGACGTGTGTTTTTATAGGAGTTTTACTGAATTTACAATTTATTTTTTTCTTAACTAACAAATATGTAAAATACTATGCATATTAAATATTTTATTTATGTATGAATAGAAAAAAATTTTTAAGTACATTTGCTTACTTATGTCGACAGTCTTATTCTTCAATATATATTCATTTTAAAAGTACAACTTTTATGTTAAAACAGTTTTCAATTGCCTTTTTTGTTTTTTCACAAAATATAATAATTTAAAAAAAAAAAATTATTTTATCGTTTCAGCGTGTAAAAAAATACAAATTAAAACTTTAAAATCAATCAAAAATATATCATTTGATATATAATTATATCAATAAATTGACGCTTGAAAGATTTGATATTCAATATTAGAAAACACTTAGTGTAATACATAAAATAATTACTCGTTCCCTCTAAATTTTTTTTTAACAAATTATAAGGAATATAATTGTTTGTGTAGTTTTATTAAACAAACAAATAATTGAAAATTGAAACATTTGCTGCCAACATTGGCAAAAATTTCCAATGTTCATTTTAAAATATATATGATCGACAAAAAGGAGTGCAAAAATTGCTGACGTTAGTAAATATCTTGGGGACACCATCTAACACCTTCAAATTATACCATAATATCAATCGATACACCTACCACATTATATTTCCCAAATGGCGCAACCAGAATTTTCTTTGGGAAGAGTTATAAAACTCAGCACAGTGAGAACGTGTCGTAGATGAGACAACTATAGCACGATGATGTCTGGCAGTGGTTAACATCTATATCATAAAAAACGCTTCGTGTGCATTTATTGTAAAATATTTAAAATTATCAGACGTTATTTGAAATGACAAGATTTTCAAAAATTGTTTAGTAATTTTTCCAGTATTGTTAAAATTTTCAATGATTTATTATCTTATAAGATATATAAATAGATTTAAGTGCTTAAATTATATACAAAAAAAGTTATTTTATCAAAAAAATTGTTAGAAATATTTGGTTGGGTGGTCATAGTGCTGGTGCTCATTTAGCTGCATGTATGATACTTACAGCACAACAGGATTTTCCAGAAATCAAGGGATTTGTCTTAATAAGTGGTATATATGACCTTAAACCGTTGTTGGACACTTCAATTAACAGTGGTCTACAATTGAATGAGTAAATTTTAATTAAATATATTTAAAAATAATAAAATTATTATAACAAACTTATTTTTCTACGAAAAAAAATTCTAAGTATATTTTTACCAATTATTAATCAGTTAAAAAAAATTAATTTTTACTTCCTATAATTTTTGAAAATATGAGTACATCGAACATATAGGATACTTTTTTTATTTATCTGAGACGCTAAGAAATAAAAAAATTTTCAGATAATTCATAATTTTTCTTTGAAATTTTAGTCATTATAGCCCTTATATCTATATCGAATATATTACTTTTATTTATTGTTCTTATTATTTTATTTTCAGGACATCGTGTGTCGAATGTAGTCCATTACACATTTTAAAAGGTTTAAATAAATCTAGAAGAACAAGTGAAATTCTTATTGTAACCGCCGAAGACGACTCGCCAGCATTTAAACAGCAAACATCTCAGTTTCGTAAAGTATGTTATAAAATAAAAGCATTACGAAAAATAATGTTATATACATAAAAATCAGAGGCTGTACCAGTATAAAAATGTTGAATAAAGGCACGAATTGTTTTAGATATAGTTAAATGATAAAGGGAATTAGCCTCCCTACTTCTTATTTGTGTGCTTCAAAACATAAATTTAAAAAAGAAAAAATTTTTGTTTACAACACTTTTACGAATTAATTATTTAATTTTTAGCTTCGATGCGAATCTGAGAAGGTATTGATTTTACTATGATGTGTTTTTTTTTTTTTGTGTCTGTTACCACTTTTTGTCAGCTCTCACCGAATCGATTTCTTTCAACGATACGTCAAAAGATCACAAATTGTATCTAGTCAAAGACATTACCCTCAAAAATGGAAAAAAAATTCCCTCGTTCTCAGTAAATGGTGGAAATCTCCTAAAAAATTACAAATTTATTTATTTTGTCTTCACGAAGAAATGAGCTACCAAATGTTATTTTTGTGTGAAAATTCTCGATTTTGTATTATACATTTTTAACTTTATTATGCTATAACTTTATGAAAAATTTATGGATCAATTCAATTTTTTCATGAAAAGTAGTATTTATATACATCTTACATTCGACATATTTTTTTTTTAAATCGGACCATTTTCCTATATACTGGGGGGGGATTAAAATCTATAAACTGCATATAGAAAGTAGCACTTTTTCAACTTAACTTTTGTAAGTGTTCCGGAAAGTTTGACACTTTTATATTTATCTTAAATTAAAGCTAATGTAATATAATTTATTATGGAAAAAAAAAATTTCGGACTTTATTTTGTCTTCACGATGAAAATGGCTACCAAATGCTATTTTTGTGTGAAAATTGTCGATTTTCAATTTTTAATTTTATAATGCTATAACTTATTTAAAAGTGTATGGATCAATACAATTTTTTTATGAGAAATAATATTTATATTCCTCTTTTATTCAACATACTTTATTTTAATTAGGATATAAATAAAGAAATAGGAGATCATGTAGCTTTTGGAATAATCCATCAATTTTTTAAAATTAAACACTATCTACAGATTTACATCGAAGCATTTTTTTTGATAGTGATTTTAATCACTGTCAGATATCATCTGTACTAGTCCTAACTATGGCACGTCACCACTGTGCCGTGGTCCCACTGTTCTGGGTTATTAATGTATTGAGATTTTATTCAAAATCGCAAAGAATTTGAGCTTCTGCATAAAAATGTTTTTCTTAATACAATTCCTGCTGGTCGAGATAGTTTTGGTATTTTAACAGTTATATTTAAAAACAATTTATTTATTAAACTTTTCTGCTTAATTTTATCTTTTTATTATATAAAAAATACATAAAAAGAAAAGGAGATGGAGTTATTTGGCAAAAAAAATCTCTAATGGGTATAATTACAAATATATATGTTTTGATTTTAACAAGATGCACTATACATGATTAGAATCTGTGACTTAAAGAAATAAAAATTACCCAAATCTAACTGAACTTTATGATTCAGATCCCGATACACTTCCATATAAGTTTGTTCACTTTTAACGAGTAAATTCAACTTAATTAAACAAAGTAACAAAATTTATCAATAAAATATATTTTACATTTATACAGTCTCTCTTCTTATTCCTCGCCTTAATCCAAACTACTTGGGGTCGACCCCCCTTATCCTAAACTTCCACTTGACACGATCTCCCACATCATCTTTGCTCACATCAGCTGTCCTCAAATCTTATTCAATAGCATACCTTTTAAAATGTCATTTATAATGACAACTTTTTCACAAAAAATTAACTTTTGAAAGTGTTCTGAAAGTCTGACACTTTAAGATATATTTTAAATTAAAGCTAATGTAATATACTTTATTATAAAAAAAAATGATGGCTTTATTTTGTGAAAATATATAAAAAATGAGTGGTTATGAAAAAAATCTAATTGCAGAAAAAAAAGTAAATACTTTACAATTCTTTTATAACTTTTTCGTAATAATTACAATACTACATTAATAAATATGAATTTCTTACTAAATGTAATTACTATAATTATTATTTTTTCATATATTAGACTTATAAATTATAGAAATGCTAATTAGAAATAATGAATAAGCATATATCATAGCTGGCCTTATTACAGTTTTATAGAATTTATCTTTCAGCCTCATTAGAATTTTTTTATCGCATAATACATTTGACGCTTTCTCCACTTTAATCATCCGCACTTAATCCTATGTCTTACTCCCTCGTTAATACCTTCGCTCTTTTGCAAAACTGATCCTAAATACTTAAAACTTTCTACCTTCCTAATACGTCCTCGCCTATTGTCAATATCTACTTATATTACCTACCTCGTGTTCTTGTTAATACTCACTTTAAAACCTCTCTCGCTACTCTATCATACGCTTTCTCTAAATTTATAAATACCATACACAGCTATTTCTTCTTTTCCCTTAATTTTTCTATTAGTTGCTTCACACAAAATACTGGCTCTATTGTTGACTTACTAGGCATAAATCTGTAGCGACGTGTAATGTATAGAAGTAATAAACACTTTTACGATTTAATAACAACTATATTATATTACAACGAACTAACAAATAACAGCGAGAGACGAAGCGCGTTTAAGACAGAATGCGTAAGTGATTGACGGATCGACTGATTGACTGGAGCGACGATCTTGCCCTTAAATAGTCAGAGGAATCTTCTAGAGGCGGCGGCGGAACTCTCTAGAACATTCAACCGCCACACCACCCCCTTACGGAGTGGAGTTAGCTAGGGTCAAAAATGTCCGGGAATCTGACTCGGCGGCCCGAGCGAGTTGTTCGTACTGGCTGTGTTGATGGATCGGTATTAGGCGGTTGTTTTTGTTTGGGCGTATTCGCTGGTGGAGCATGTGCCTGGCTATCGGTTGTGCTTTCGTTCACCATGAGGTAGGCAGGTTTTACTCTATCAATCGTCACCGTAACTGGTTGATTTCGAACTTTTATTGTGAACGTTTTGTCATTTCGGGCAATTACTTCGTAGGGACCTTGATATGGCGGTTGAAGTGCTGCTCGGACANTTCGGGCCTTTGAGAATACCGTGAAGTGGTGCTTGCAGGTCGGCAGCTTTGGGAATAAACCGGCTATAAAAATTTACCATTCCCAAAAACCGGCGTAATCTTTGCATAGATTTTGGCAATGGATACTGTCGTAGGGCGTCGACGCGTTCCGGTGGCGGGCGGGTGCCTTCAGAAGATACTAGGTAACCTAGAAATTTCACCTCAGCCGAACCTAATACACATTTTTGCGGGTTAACGACAACACCGTAGTCAGAAAGTCTCCCGAAAAGAGTGCGTAAATGCTGTTTGTGGTCCTCTTCCGATTTAGAGAATACCAAAATGTCATCAATATATGCATAACAGAAGTCCAACCCATTGGTAACTTCGTCTATGAAGCGTTGAAAAGTTTGTCCAGCATTTCGCAATCCGAATGTCATAAAAGGAAATTCGTAAAGTCCGAATGGAGTGGTAATGGCTGTTTTGCATATATCGTCCGGATTAACAGGTATTTGATGGTAAGCCTTTACCAGATCGATTGTGGAAAATAGCGTGCAATTAGCCAGGTTGTGCGAGAAATCATGTATGTGTCTGACTGGATAGGAGTCTGGTATAGTTCGGGCGTTCAGCGCGCGGTAATCACCGCAAGGACGCCAGCTGTTCTCCCCTTTCGGTGCTAAATGTAATGGTGAAGACCACGGACTGCTTGAAGGTCTAGCGGTACCTGCCTTGACCATTTCCGCGAATTCCTGTTTGGCGATTTTTAGTCTACCTGGAGCTAAGCGGCGTGGGCGGCAGGCTATTGGCTGACCAGGTGTCGTAAGAATGTGGTGCACTGTTTGATGTTTTATTGTCCTGGGCAATCCGGTGGGACGTGTGATGTCCGGAAATTCTGCGAGAAGTGCAGCCCAAGGGGAAGTGTTGGCAACTGATTTTATGCTGCATTGATTTACAGAGGAAACCTTACCATTCACAGCCAAGCCTGTGACACCATCAATAAGACGTTTGGTACGGCAATCCGGCAGCAAGTGGTAGTATGCCATGAAGTCGGAACCAATGATAGGAGTACTCACGTCGGCGACAATAAAACTCCACGGGAAACTGCGTCGAAGTCCTAAATTCAAATTGAGATGGACCGTCCCGTAAGTTTTTATGGTACTGTTGTTGGCCGCGCTGAGGTCGTAATCGGTGGCATGGCGTCGTTCCCGTAGTAGCCGTTGAGGGTAACAAGATAAGTCGGAACCGGAGTCGACTAAAAATTGGCGTTTTGTTATTTGATCTGTAACAAACAGGCGGCTGCTCGGGTTCGGACAGTCTGTTGCCGCCGCTACTGACTGTCGTTGGAGTTTTCCTGATACTTGCAGGGAGCCTTACATTTGGCAGCCTTTTCTCCATAAGTGCTATGATACCAACACCATCCTTTGCCGTTAGTCAGTTCCACGTTTGAACGGTTACGTGACCTAGAGCGGGAACGTTGCGGGCGTTTAGCACATAATTCGCTTACCTGTTTTGTGAGTGCTTCAATGGCAGCTAAAACATCGAGTTCCTTTTTATTGTTCGTCGTGGCAACAGCATGGACGAATTGCGAGGGGGCTGGCTGCACTTCAACAATTTTGTCAGCCAGCTCGGCTACCTTATCCAGAGGAAGCTCTGATTGTGCGGTTAAAATAGCTTGTGCATGTGATGGTAGACGGCGGAGCCAAAGTTGACGTAAAATATTGTCTTGTAATGTAGTAGTGCCGGCAAGGGAACGGAGATGTCGTAAGAACTGTGATGGCTTACGGTCACCTAGTTCTTTTTCGTTGATGAGTTGCCGTACACGTTGTTCTTCTGAGATAGACAACCGTTCAACAAGTTTTGCGCGTAGATGTTTGTAGCGTTCAGTAAGCGGTGGGTTAGTAATAATATACTCTACTTCGCCGGCGTAACGCGTATCAAGCTGAGCCACAACATAATTAAATTTTGTTTCCTCACTTGTTATTCCCGAGATTGCAAACTGCGAGTCAACCTGTGAGAACCATAAGCTCGGTCTTTCGGACCAGAAAGGTGGCAACTTGACGGCAACGCGATTCACTGAAGCTGTTGGATATTGCTGTGTCTGTAGTGCTGCAAGACGAGCGTTTTCTTGGCGTAACTCCTCCAATTGATTGCGTAGTTCTTCGGCGTTCATACTTGTTATCGTCGAGGTCACCAATGTAGCGAGGTGTAATGTATAGAAGTAATAAACAGTTTTACGATTTAATAACAACTATATTATATTACAACGAACTAACAAATAACAGCGAGAGACGAAGCGCGTTTAAGACAGAATGCGTAAGTGATTGACTGATCGACTGACTGACTGGAGCGACGATCTTGCCCTTAAATAGTCAGAGGAATCTTCTAGAGGCGGCGTCGGAACTCTCTAGACATTCGACCGCCACACGCTTATGTAGAGCGACGAATCTTCTAGAGGCGGCGGCGGCNAAAATCCAATCTACTTTTTAGATACCAATGTCTCATTTCTTATTCTCTTATCTATTACCTTATCCTAAATTTTCATACTATGACTCATATGCCTTATGCCTCTATAATTTCCACACTGCTGTATGTCCCTCATTCTACAAGATATCCTTTAATGTCTCTTTTGGATACTCCTCATTCAGTAATTTTTCAAAATACTCTCCATCTTTTTTTCACATCATCATCACTCGATACTACCCTATTTTTAACACTTTTTATACACCTTACATGATGAATAGCCTATTACAAATATCGTTTACAATCAAAACTTATAATAAACAACGTCCAGCCTGTTTAAACAGTTTCGCCCTAATATGTCGTCCAATAGTCTTCAACTGGAATTTTTTTTATTTTATTCCAAATAAAATGTATAAAAGGAACACACTTAAAATGATAAGTCATTATTTAAAAAAAATTATTAACTCAATTCATAAAAAATATTCTAAAATGTATTTACTAATACTGTAAAATAAGCTTTTTCATTTTAAACTCATATATTTATTTTTATTTCAGTTTCTTGTTAGCCGTGGATTAATAGTTAAAGAAGAATGTGTAGCTGGAGTTGATCATTTTAATATTGTGGAAAATCTTTCTGATAAAGATTTTTTTTTAACAAAACTGATCATCAAATTCATTTTGAATTCATTATGCAGTAAAGATTAATATTTGTTAAGACGAAGTAATAATCTAATTCTATCTAATGATGTCTATTATCCAAAATAGTGGCGTATTTTTTTCTTAGGGAGAAGATCCCGAATTAGAAACCCTGCCCCATATAAAAATTAAAAATGTAAAACACACCATACTAATGACGCAAATAAAATATTTTTTAGAAGAAATATCATTTAATATCATTTTGAACACTATTTTAATCGTAAAATGAGGTACTAAAGATTTAAAAATCATTCTTTATTTAAATGAAAGGGATAAAATAAAAGATTATTTATAAAAAAAATTTTTTTGAAAATAAGCCACAGTTTTTAAGGGCAGTATCATAAAGTAGTATTATATGTATATGTGTTTAACATTAAAAGTACATTACAAATACATAAAGTATATTCTATTTTAATAATAAAAAAAAATTACAAACAAGATATGTAAATTATAGAATGTAAATGTAATCAAACTTGATTTTATCTAACCTTTTAATAAGTTGTGTACAATACAATTTTTTTACACAATAACATGTAGTAATATAAAAATAACAAAGGTTCTTGGTATTTGACCAAGGTTGGATATTTGGGTATTTGGTCAATTCAGAAGCAACGAGGTTCTTTCGGGGTTGTTGAGTCCTAGGGTTTAGAACAGTAAAGACAAGTAGATATAAAAAGATATGAATTAAGTTTCTCTCATAGAGGTATTAAACCCTGAGGTATTCTTATAGTGGCCGGGGTCTTGGCCTCCTATCTGACACCCAGTCAAAGCGTGATGTTAACTGGTATGTGCTTTAGTGGAAATACTGAGGCGTTCTTGGAGTGGCGGAAGCCTCCTCTCAGACACCTAGTCGAAGTATATGACCAAGCACTAACTAGTTATTAATAATTAAATTAAATTATGTTTACAAAAAATCTATTTCTTTACCATTCTTTACTTATATTATTAATTCTAATTAATTTGATTAATATGAATTTACATACCTCGTTTATATGGCTTGTATAAAGATCGTCAATATTTGCGTAAAAATTTATACTGTCTCTTTTAAATAAATAAAGTGTTGACGCAAAATAACTGAATTCGATATCGTTTTAAAATGTATCGACGACAACACGGGGTCGCGGCTAGTTTTATCAAAATAAATCAGATAGAAAAATTCTGAATTCTTTATTGAATTCAGATCTTTAAAAAAAACTCAGCACAGGGGGGTCGTGGCACAGTGGTGCCGTGGTATAGTTGGATCAAGTATAATGATATCTGACAGTGATTAAAATCACTATCATAAGAAACGCTTTGATGCAATCTGTAGATAGTGTTTCATTTAGATAAATTGGTGGATTATTCCAAAAGCAACATCAACTCTTATTTCTTTAATTATAACCTGATTAGTAGTTCTTTGATTTTAAAATATAATATATGAATAAATACTAATTATAGTTTTTAAATTTAGTATGAAATTGTGAGGCCAGCTATGATGAATGGTTCATAGTGTTGGGTGGTTGATAAGAAAGTATAGCAGAGATGAGAATGCTTAATTGGATGAGTGGGGGGACTAGAGAAGATAGGATAAGGAACGAGCATATAAGAGGAAGTATAGGTGTTGCGTCAATCGTGGATAAGATGACAGAAAATAGACTTAGATTGTTTAGTCATGTTATGAGGAGAGAAGAATCGGAAGCTGTAAGAACAGTTATAGAAATGAATGTTGAAGGAAGAAGAGATAGAGGAAGACCAAAAAAGAGATGGAGGGATGCTATTGAATGCGATTTGAGGACAGCTGATGTGAGCGTAGAAGATGTGGGAGATCGTGTCAAGTGGAAGCTTAGGATAAGGGTGGCCGACCCCAAGTAGTTGGGATTAAGGCAAAGAAAAAGAAAAATATTACCAGAAATTCCGGTGGCAATTGACATAATATGATTGTTGTTTCGGAATGTACAATTTAGCGTTTAGTTGGGTTTAAATAATATAGCGTCAAATCAATTACCTACTCTATCGCTTGTATATTAATATACACTACACTTTAATGATACAATAAATAAATAAACTCACACATACACACATATGCACTTGTAACATTGTGTCTAATGTAAGTATAACATGATAAAAAGTAACCGTAAAATGAAAAAAATGGAATATAAATTTTATTACTCATATTAAATGTAATGTAACTCGAAAAATATTTGTTTAAATGAAAAAATATAAGAT